AGGCCAGAGGTTTGTTTGTGGAGGATGTTCAGAACATGTTTCGCCTTTCGCGGGAAGAGTCTATGGATGAGAAACCCAAACTCACTTCTTCAATTCAGGGCTCTGTCATTGACAGCTTGGATATTAAGGACAATGGTGGGAGAATTTCTTGTGATGAGGTGTCAGCCTTATTCAAGTCTCACCAATGTTGGAGTGAAGGTGCGAAAATGAGAGCGACCTGTTACACCCAACAGCTCGAGGAACTGTTGCCAGTGGGGCAGAGCCCATTGCCTGTCCTCACGCATGAGGAGTTGTATGATAAGCAGTGTCAGGATCCTGTGGTCAGCCGGGTTTCCTTTTATGTGAACAGGGGGAGTCAACCATCCAGACGTGAGCGCATTCATGAATCGCGGGAGACAAACCGTACATTGCGACAGTGGGGTAAACTCACGACCCGGCTGGGCGTGTTGTACAGAGTTTCTAAACATGTGGTGAGCAAGAAGAAAAGGTTTCAATATGTGGTTCCAGTTGCTTTGAGAAGTCAAGTGTTAAAAGGGGTGCATGATGATGCAGGCCATCAAGGTCAGCAGCGCACATTGTGGCTGGCCAGACAACGATTTTACTGGAATACAATGGAACACGATGTCAAAGAATATGTGAGTCATTGCAAGAGATGTGTTTTGAGCAAAGCACCCGAACCTGAGGCCAGGGCTCCACTTGTTTCCGTTGTCACATCAGCACCACTTGAATTGGTTTGTATTGACTTCTGGTCGGCGGAGGATGGCAATAACAAGTCCATCGATGTTTTAGTGGTGACAGACCATTTTACCAGGCTCGCATGTGCTTACCCATGTCCAAATCAATCGGCCAAGTCAGTCGCTCGCGTGTTATGGAACAATTTTTTTTCCATATACGGATTTCCAGCTTGTATCCACTCTGACAGAGGGGCTAATTTCGAGAGTTCCCTCATTGCCGAGCTACTCCAGATGGCCGGTGTTCGTAAGAGCCATACGACCCCTTACCATCCTGCGGGAAATGGCCAGGCTGAACGCCTAAATCGCACTCTGGGTAGCATGATCCGTGCTTTGCCTCCCCGGGCAAAGGAAAAATGGCCTCAGATGCTGAACACACTGACCTTTGCCTATAATTGCACGGTACATGAAACAACAGGGTTTCCACCCTTCTTTTTAATGTTCGGGCGAACTCCGAGGTTACCTGTTGATGTGATGTTTGGAAGCGTTCTCCTAGATGGAGAGACTACTGACATAGACAAATATGTTCAGTCACTGGGCACAGACCTCAAGGAAGCAATGACTTTGGCTCAGCAGCATGCTGAGAAGCAGCAACTGAGACAAGCTGAGGTGTATAACCGAAAGATTAAGGGACATTCTTTGGAGAAGGGAGACAGAGTTTTGATGGCTAACAAAGGGGAACGGGGGAAGAGGAAACTGGCTGATCGTTGGAAGGATACAGTTTACATTGTGGTCCATAAGAACAGTGAACTGAACACCTATGTTATCCGTCATCCTGTTACGGGACGAGTTAGGACAGTTCATAGGAATCTGATCATGCCTGTAAACTTCTTGCCTTTGCCATCATGGGATGACTCTGTGTCTCAGGTTTCTTTGTCGAACACAGCTTCAGAAGGTGGGTTGTCAGATGATGTGGTTCCAGGTGAGCGGAACAGTGATGCTCGGACAGCTCGCTGGGTTTCCTCCCTCCCAGAGTCTAGTGTGGTGCGGACTGCCAGGGCAGTAACGGTAGCTAGTGAATCTGAAGCGATTGGAGGGAATAACGATAGTGTTCAGGGTGGAGGGATCATGTCTGCCTGTGGGGATGATAGAAGCGTCGTGGATGGGGTGGATCATGGGTCGAGGAATTCACACTTTGAGGATAACAATAGTGATCGGCTGTCAAACTCTGTGAGCATGAGCTTACATCCAGGTACCACGATAGGTTCAAACACAGCCGTTAGTGGCACACATGTGTCTGGATGTGACACAGTCGTTACAGTTGTACCCTCTGGGATCCCTTCGGTTGTTCAAGGGGAAGGGATACGGACGAGATTGGGTAGACTTATCAAACCTGTTAACAGGTTGATTCAGACAATGTCCACACAAAGAGTTAAAATTTTGTCATAGATCCTTCAGGGACCATTTATTGTGTTATTGTGTTTATTTTTTTATTGGGACTTCTTACACTGGGGGTCTGGTCGTACTTTTATTTGGGTTGTCCAATGCTTTGGACACTTTTGGGTAATTTTGGGTGTACTCTGTGATGGATGTGTAAGTGGCACGTCTTCTATGGTGAGGTGGGGACTTAGCTAACCCTCATCTCTCCTAATTCTTCATTGAATAGCTCTTTGCTGGTCGGCCAGTTTGGCCTTGTATGGAGGGTACACTTGGGTTACATGTATTGGTGTGGCCGGATTGGTATTTTTTTTTTTCTCTTGACTGGTTATATGTATATATTTTTTGTGTTTTATTTTGTTTGTTTTGTTTTATTTGGGTAGCATGCCCACAATCTAGTGTAAAACAGTGGGGGTGAATGTAGCGATGTGATGTTGTTACACTAGATTGTTAAGTGGGAGGGTGTTCCGATGGGAAATTCTGAGCACCGGCAGCTTTATTTTGAAAGGACGACAGATCCATTGTAATCCAGCGGGTAACTTCCTGTCTCCAAATTATTATTTTTATTAAACTTTCATGTGTTGTAAATAGAAATGGGAATTATTATTGTTGCTGTTGAACATATTTAGTTCATGGGTCATTATTTCTAGTATCAGTTTGGAGTTTAAAAATATAAATTAGTGGATCATACCATTGTAGGCTGTGAAAGGTTTTCCCACACTCTCGGTCGCGCTCTTTCTGTTCGGATTCCGTGGGAGAAGGTATGAAGTTTCGTTTTTGTGTTTAATAAGTGTATGTTAGTGTATTAAGTGATGGTTTTATCACAGTTTTTTTGTAAAATAATGTGTATTGTTATTGTAGTATAAATTAACCTGTTAAATTAAGGCTAGTAGCTAACAGTTAGCTAGCTGTTTTATACATGAAACATTGCTAACAAATCGTATGTGCATGTGCTGAAGATAGTATTGTTCATGGTTGAACAGGCGCTGTGCGGGACTGAAAAGTACACTGTTCTGATTGATACTATTTTCTGCCATTTGAATGCAGGTATGTGATGTTTCATTACTATTTATGGTATTTTATTTGGTTTTCATTAATGTACTGTTTAAGGTTAATATGCCCATGTTTGGGCTCAGTTACTTATTAATGCAATTGTTTTTATTTCATAAAGTAAATGTGTTACTTTACTTAAGTCACACGCACTTGCGCTCTTTCTGTTCGGATTCCGTGGGAGAAGGCGCTGTGCGGGACTGAAAAGTACACTGTTCTGATTGATACTATTTTCTGCCATTTGAATGCAGGTGCATTAAAATCATCTGCACATCAGCTGTTGTTTGGCTTTTCTTGCCTCAAAAAGACACAACGCAGGATTAACTACGCTACACAGATAACAGACAGTTGGTTGAAAGTTGAAGAATCGTCTGAAGAAACACGCCGACTAAACGAGATAGGGGAGACTCATCAAACTGGACCGGGTTCTACTCACCCAGCAACACAAGAACCCAGAATGATACCGCTTTGATGTCTTGCAGTCTGGTTTCCATGGTCGCTGCCGTACTGAGACTGGCCTATTCAAAGTGTTCAATCACATCCACATAAACTCAGACTGTGGGAGAACCACAGTGCTGGTTCTGGTTCTGCCTGACCTCAATGTTGATCAAACTCTTCGGTCCAGAACTCAACTGGTTCCAGTCCGACATAAAGAACTTGGATTTCTTCGTTTCAATAGGTAACTTCTCATCAAAGAGGTCAGAGGTTACAAATGTTTTACCGCAAGGTTCCTTTCTAGGATCCTGCTTATTCAATACCTTTATGCTCCCACTGGCTCAGGTTATCACAGCAAATACGACTAGCAGTCAGCTCAACATTATGATGTCACCAGCTGACCTTTGACCCCCTCCAATCACTGAACAGATGCTTAGAACAGATAAATGTGAGGATGTGCCAAAACTCTCCATCTGAACAAACACAAAACTGAAGTTATTATCTTTGGAGGTTAAGAGGAACAATCTAGACTTACAGATCTAGAGCTATATACACACAGCTACAGTTCTTCCAGCCGGAAACTAGAGATCAGGATGACCTCTGACCTGAACCTCCAAAGCCACATAGACAGTTCTAATATCAGCCTTCAATCACCTGAAGAACATTCAGAAAATACAAGGTTTCCTCCCAGTGTGTTATAAGTCCACCAGGCCTCGGTTTCATCTTTTGAAATCTGTGTGGCTCATTTACCACTGGGTGGCCAGTTGCACTGAAGCAACCCACTGTGGATTGTTCTCTCCAGTCGACATCGTCTGGATCTTCTGCCACAATAAATAAAAAGGTTTTGGACCACAAGATTTGACCATGGAGTTATGGATTTTCTGTCTAGCCAATTACTACGGTCCAGTCGCCAGTTGAAAATGGTGACCGAAATGTTGTTGGTCTAAAGTGCCATTTGGGCAATCATCGGATGCCGACTGCTGCCAATCAAATGGGCGTAAATTAGTATCAGTTCATACAAGTTAGCATCATTTGTTACAAGTTGATGATGGTTGGTATCGGTTGATAATGATTGGTACTAGTTGGTATTAAATGCTGTAATGGTTGATGATGGCTGGTTTTTGATGTTTATTGGTTGTTATTGGTATGTTGGTCCTGATTGGATGATGTCGGCTTTCTGCATTCATTTTAATTTAATTTGAATGATTGGCTGACGTTGATTGACGAGTGGTTGGTCTCCAGGTCTCCAGGGTTTATTTTGGGCTCATTAGGAATCGTGTGGCTGCTATGTTGTTGATCTTTGTGATGATGATGATGGTGATGATGTCCAGATCTTCGTCTCGTCCGTCAACATGTCTCCTCTCTGACGCCATGATAGCTACGGGTCAGATTCTGGGATGTTCTTACCTGAAGCTGAGTCGCCATTGGAAACCACCTGCAGGCGATGACGGTCCTGGTGGGCCGGGTCACTTCTGTCCAATCCGCTGTCATCCCCGACACACACACTCAGCATAAACACACACACCAACCACACACACTCCATACCTGAGGAGAGAGAGGAAGCGCTGTTAGGCCTTTCAGAATAAAAGCGTTTCATAAGAGCGGGTTTGACTGATGGACCAGAACTAGACCTGGGTAGTAGGAGGTCCAACTGGGACAGAGTGAGACAAACTGGACATAATGAGACAGAATTGGACAAAGTGTGACAAACTGGGACGTAATGAGACAGAATTGGACAGACCGGGACCTGGACATGTCCTGGAGACAAGTCGTGAAGTCAAAGCTTCTGGAAGGAACCTAAAGAACCGGAACATCAACAAACACACACATCCATCTTTTATGACCCTTGTCCAAAATGGGGTAGGAGGTTCTGGTTCCCATCTCCTGCTACGTTCCGGGCTTGAGGCGGGCTTACATCCTGGACAGGTCGCCAGTCTGTCGCAGGAGCGTCAACAAACTGAAACCAAACTTCCTGGCTGCTCCTGAGGCGTTCAGGGACCAGAACCAGAGCCAAAACTTTAAAGCCAGACAGCAACAGAACCAGAACCGGTCTTCGGCAGTCTCCGTCTCCTACTCACTAAAGTTTATCTGGGGTCAGAGGTCACACAGCTGTTCACTTTCCCACCAACTTCATCATCATCCTCATCACCTTCATCACAGTGAGGGTCGGTTCGGCTGCACCCACCTAAAGCGCTGAGCCGCTCCTTTAATCCATGGGTCTGGTGCGGTCCGCTTGGTTCGGCAGCGGCGGATCGACCCGCAGCAGGGACTCAACAAACTGCAGCTGGAGGAAAATACCCGCAGAAGATCCGCCCGCGGTGCGTTCAGGTACCCGGGATAAGCTCTGAACTCTGAGCGGCACAGAAATCGGTTCTGGAGTTCCTTGTTCCTGATTGAACCGGTTGAACAAAGAACCGAAATTATCATCATCATCATTAAACCGTAAAGGCTCGGTAAAGAATCGAAAATACTGCAGTAAGACTCCAATCAGAGTCCAAATCTTCCGAACATGAAAATGTGAGGCTCATCCAGATTCTGCTCTAGTGAGTCAAAACCCTGCAGAACCGCCGGTCCAGTTTTATTTAGCCTACTATAAAGTTCAGGAAATATTTACTTAATTAAAATGGATTTAAACTCCAGAAATGCTGCAGATGTCTGAAGCTGCGCCTCGTGCTCTTTGTGTCACTCGTACGTCCCACGGCACTGAAAGGCAGCATTTAACTCTCGGAAAACGGAATTATGGCGCCATCGTGTGGCCTTTCAGAGGCAGTGCAAGCCGAAGTAAGAAAACCATCAAGTTAAAGATTTGGCTTTAAAATATCCAGTTGAAACTTTTTCCCACTCCGTAAAGCTTTAAAGGAGTACAAAAAAAATAAAGCAAAACAAAAAATACATTAAAATCAGAATGAAAAGAAACATGATAGAAACAGATCCACAAGTCAGAGAGAATTAACCAAAGGTCCAAAAGAACCGAACCAGAATCAGCAGAAACATTATGAGCTGCTTCAAGGAGGTTCTGGGTTCAAATTAGTGAATAGGGATGAATTTCTACAAAAACAAGATAAAATTTAAATTTAAACCGCAGAAAAACTGTAGAGAAAAATCAAACTAAAACTCACATTTTAAATTACATTAGTGAAAAAGTGAAAAATAACTGAAGTTTGACATAAAAGGCAAGAAAATGATCAATTAGCAAATGGAAAATCAAAATTTAAATGAACAGGAAACAGTTAAAAAAAAACAGACTGATCTGATTTAAGCAGAAAATGTTTAAAACCATCAAAGTTTAAGAACAATAATAACAGAAAACTGATTTAAAACATAAAATAACACAAAATAGACAGAACAGCAACAAATAAACAAAATAAAAACTGGAAATACAAAAAAACTCGAGAAATTAAAATAGAAACAAAGAAAAAATCTTTAAAATTTACAGATTATGATTTATGAAAACACCTGCGCTGTACCTGTCCGTCAGAGCCAGGGGACGGGGCTTACCGAGATCAGCCTGGCTCTGACGTTTCTCAACAGACAAGTAACGCCACTGTCACACACACATTGTCACACACACACACACACACACACACACACACACACACACACACACACACACACACACACACACACACACACACACACACACACACACACACACACACACAGAAACTTCCTCAAACTCTAACTCCACCACTTCCCCTCGGACTTCCTCCTCCCCGTTACCTCCGCCCTCCGACACACACACTCACACACACACTGGGATACACACTGCAGCCGCAGCTGGACCGAGCGCAGCAGAACTGGACCGGACTGATGAGCGGTGAGTTCTGCCGGAGCGCGCTCCACTCCGCCTCACTCTGTGTGTGTGTGTCACTTCTACACTGAGCTGTCGGTGTGTGTCAGAGTGTGTGTCGGAGAATGTGTGTGTGTCGGGGTGTGTTCTGCTGTGATCCAACTGGATTCTCTGGATCTCTGGTTCTGTTCTGCTTCTCCCCAGTAGATCCATAGTAAGATTGTTTGTGTGATCGAGTTTCTGAGCAGGAAGCTGGAGATGGAGAGCGACCACTCCCTGTGTGTGTGTGTGTGTGTGTGTGTGTGTGTGTGTGTGTGTGTGTGTGTGTGTGTGCGTATGCGTGTGTGTGTGTTTCTCACTTCTTCTTTTAACTTTTTCTTTGCTGAGCCCTGAAACACTCACTGATCAGACCAGCAGGTCTGGGTTTCACTGACCCAGTAGAGCAGAAACCAGAACATCTGAAGTCCAGGAAACAAAAGCTGAGACGAACATCAATAACTGCAGGAGAAGAGGAAGAGCTGCTGTTACTTTAAATAGACCAAACTACCATCAGCTGCAGGACACCAAAGTTCAGCTTCTTCTAATCTCAAGTTTTGAGAAGAAAACCATGCAAAAAACCACTCTATACCAGCAAGAACAGACTCTAAACCAGCAAGAACAGACTCTAAACCAGCAAGAACAGACTCTGAACCAGCAAGAACAGACTCTGAACCAGTAAGAACAGACTCTGAACCAGTAAGAACAGACTCTAAACCAGTATAAACAGACTCTAAACCAGTATAAACAGACTCTAAACCAGCAAGAACAGACTCTAAACCAGACTCTAAACCAGTATAAACAAACTCTAAACCAGTAAGAACAGTTTGGTTCTCCACTGGTTATGGATTCTGGCCCATTTCAGGAGATGGGTCAGTGAACCCACAGAACATCAAAGAGGCAGGAAGTCCTTGATGTTCTGGAGACCAATCCGGACCTGTTCCAGTACACAGTCCAGTTGGTTGGACTGGTCCCTCCCGGTTCTACAGGTCTGTACACAACAATGTGCTACAGGAGTCCAGAACCCATCTTGGTTCTGGTTCAGAAGTTTCTCCTGAAATGGGTTTTTGGATCTTAAAAGTTTTTCAGGATCCAGAACCTGAGATCGGATCTGGTTGAGCACCGGTTCCCCGTAAGAGATAGTTGTGTTGGACCTTTATGTGCATTCAGTTTGTTTCCCTAGTTGGTCTGGACCTGTTGGACCCTTTGGATCTGTTGGTCCATCTAAAGCGGATCAAAAGCGTTGGGTTTAAATTCACCTAAATGTCCAACAGAACCTTCTCTTCAGGGGAACTGTTGATCAACTGAGTCCAGTTTAAGGTTCTGGTTCCTGAGACACCTTAACTCAACTTGATTGGCATAGAACATTTCAGCAGCTGGATCAGAACCACAACCTAAGAGGTCTGGAAGGTTGAAACAACAAGGCCAAACCCGTTTCAGGAGACATATCAGGAAGTTCCTGCCTCAGAAACCAGTCTGTGGGTTCACGGTGGTGTGGTCCAAACGAGCGAAGCCACATTTTGAGGCGTTCTGCATCCAAACCAACTGTGGTGCGTTTCGCTCCTGATCTCCTTCCAACCAACTACAAGAAATGTACGTCTTCTTGGACTTCAGGAGCCACCGTAGCTGGGCATCATGGTAAAGTGAGCCCATCAACACCGCTATCTATATTGCAAATGCTAACACTTTTGCGGACGCTAATGCTACAGTGACCTGTTGATGGACTGGACAAGCCAGGAGACTCGGGTCCACCTTGACATTTGATACACGCATAATCCAACTGCTAGAGAAGACTTGAGTACGCCGTGTGTTCAGGGTGTTGCAAGAAGCTGAGGGACTTCCATGTTTGTTTTCTTTCTGGTCTGTGCTTTGTTCCGCAGAAACCGTCACTGGCGGGGCTTTGCTTACAAATGATAGATTATTTACAAAGCTTCAAGTAGCAGCACATTGTTCCAAATTACATAATTGCAGTCCAACTTTGGTCCAAGCAGGCCGAAGGACTGGTGTGACCCATTATGATCACTGTGGAAACTAGGCTACCAGACATGTTTCTGGTCATAGTAAACATGGCTGCCACTGCAAAAACCACTGCTCAGTCCACACTAAGCAGATGCTCGGTTCACTCACCTCAGCCCGCTAAATGCATGAAGCTACCAGGGGAACAGACGGCCTGACCTACTTTCTGAATGTTTCATGATCCGACCACTTGGGGGTTCTCACAGAGATTTTCCTCACCAGTCAGAATCAAAATGTGATCTCCTTTGATTCTTCAGGTTTGACACAAGCTAGCTAGTGAGTAGGCATTTTCCAAAATGGCAGATTAGCTTGGAAACGGTTAGCCACTCTGGTTCTGGTTCAGGCATGGCAGGTCCATGGCTGCTGGGTAGTGAGCCGTAGTTCTATGGGTCTGGACTTTCTTCTTGTTGCAGGATAACTCATCAGAACTCGCCGGTTCTGGTCAACTTGGTTCGGGATCTGGATCCGGCTGAGGCGTTTCTGACCGGTTCTAGAGACTCCAACTCTCATCAGCTGATGATCCTCTCTGAAAGTCATGGTTGGTTCTGGATTCAGTTCCATCCAACCTGAGAGGTCCAGTTAACTGGGTGAAGCTGGTTACGGTCTGGTTCTGGTCAGGTTACGGTCTGGTTCTGGTCAGGATTGGGTTGGTTCTGGTTCTAGTTTGGATTTGTTCTAATTCTTGAACCCGTTTCCCCCCTGAGTATTGTTTGACTGCAGATTCTATTTGATTCGGACCGGTTTCATGTTGGAATTTGAGGCCTGGTTGTTTCATTGATCAGAACCGGGTGGTTCTGATCCGGACAGGTCAAGCGGTTCAGATCTCTTATTCCAGGTGGAAATGTTTTTTTTTTTGCTGGTTTGGGTGCTTTTGTTCAGGTTCTGGTTTCATTCGTGGCTGTTTAATATCAGCTGATGACATCATCGTCTTCTGCACGTGCTCAGATGTGAAAAATAGCAGTTAGCCTAATATTAGCCTTCCAAGAACGAAGCACGAAGTCGGACGTCACAGCAGCTGTGACTCATTCCACTTTGGGTCGGGTCCGATCCGGCTGTTTAACTTTCAGTTCAGTGTGCTTCCTGGTTCTGACCTGTTTCACTAGAACTTTATTTGTGTTCCATCTCTCAGAACCATTCCGGTTCTGGTTGGTTTTGTTGCACAAACAAAATGAACAAAAGTCCAGTTTTGTTCGTTAGGTTCTTGTTCTGGTTCCATTATGATGAATAGAATAGTTTGAGGGACCCAGTTGGACCTGTTGGGCTCAGTGATGTAGGTAGATGATCTAGTTTGGTTCTGACCTGCTGAGAACCGGACCGTTCAGCTAGAACCCAGTTCTCATAATAAAAGGTTCTAGAAACGACTCCAAGAACTTCCAGTCGGGTCATCAGTTCTAGAGAATAAATTTGCAGCTGAAGCTGACTGGACGGAACCGGAACCAGGGGATCAGTCTCACTGGACCGGGCCTCGTTCAATATCCAGTTTTGCTTTATGAACTACATTATCCATGATGCTTTGCAGTGTTCTGTTTCTGGAGCTGTGGTCGCCTCTTCTCCTTTTCATCCGTCTGCCAGCCTGACTCTTCCTCTGCAGTTCTGGTTTCAGACGGTTTGGGTCTGATCTGAAAACGCTGCAGCAGCTGAGAGGAAATATCAGCGAGAGATTTTATTTTTCACCGAGCAAACAGAACCGGAACCGATTATTTCTGTCACAAACCAGACTGACTGGAAATTATGTCTGTACTTCCTCTTCATCAGAGGACCAGAACCAAGAGACCAGAACCAGAACCAGGCCTCTGCTTTCCAGTTGAACACGGCGGAGGCAGCATCATGCTGTGGGACGATGTATTCTGGAGGCAAACCAGTTTGGGTGGAGGTTCAATTTCTGAATGTTATGAGATGATTTAGATGGCCTAGTTAAAGTCCAGACCTATTCTGTGGGAAGGCTTCAAAACTGATGATGTCATCCACAGCTTCACAGATGAAAATAAACCAGAAAATGAAACGTTTTCCTTCCAGTAAACTTTGATCTGCTTTGTCACATTACCTGGTTCGCCCTGAAAATGACTCGCATTCAGATCAGTGGACTGAACCAGTTCTCCAGAACCAGTTCCTTTGATCAGACCAGCTAACTTTGATGTTTAACAACTAAACTCCTGAAGCAGTGATTGGTTTGGGTCAGATTTGAACGAGGAAGTGCCGCCCTTTTACGGATGAAGCCCCGATGCTCGTTGACAAACGTCGATGTCAAAGTAAGCATTGAGTTCGGCTGAACGGGAACATTCAGAACCAGACCTGCAGCAGCAGAAGTCCTACAGCAGTTGAGCACAGGAAGCCACGTTGCATCACGCTGCATGGCGTCGCATCGCCTGGCATCGCAACGCATCGGGCCGGACTGTCATAGAAACATGAACCCGGTTCATTTCTGTTTTTGAGCTTCTTCTCTTCATCCATGAAGGTCAACAGGAAGGTCACAGAAACTCCTGAAGCCGTGACCCAGAACTGATTTGGTCTGAAACGGGGAGACTTTGTTCTGTGACCTTTGACCTCTGAACACGGCTTCAATCAGCCACTCTTGCGTTCAGCTTTCGGTTCCACCTGAAACAGGAAGTCAGAACGTGTTCATCAGCCGTCGCTATTTCTAGAAAACTCTCATCAGCAGTTTCTGTTTGTTCAGACAGAAAGTGTCTCCGTCAGCTGCTTCACAAACACAGCCAGAAGGTTTGGTGGAAGGAAAACCTTAAAGAGGTCAAATGGCATAAAAACAGAGAGCTGAGTAAAACCAGAGTCTGGTCACCCAGCTGACCTCTGACCTCCACTGCATCTACCATGAAGCTGCAGAATGTTTTTATATTTTGTTTTTAGGTTGTGAAGTTCGGAGGGTTTTTGAAAGGCTTTTTATTCCCTTTCATGGAAATGTCTGATGCCGATAAAATGTACTTGTTTTTTTTTATTATTTCTTTTTAATTCTGTTTTGAACGTCTGGTCTGAAAACAAAATGGCTTCCAAAGCTGGAAAGGTCAGTGACCTCTGATCATTTTCTGTTCAGCTCTAAAGCAGGCAGATCAGAACTTCACCTGATGTCAGTTAAGCGCTTGGTTCTGATTGGTTTGATTGCACCAAACACCTTGACTCAAACATCCAACAGGAAGTTCTGGACACTAAAGCAGAACTCTGAGTTTATGGACCCTGAAGGAGAAACGGGTCGGACAGAAACAATGGACTTGTCAGTCAGACCAGTTCCTGTCGTCCTGACGACACACAGCAGTGTGTGTGTGTGTGTGGCTATAAAACTGTAAAATATACACAGGTTCTATGCAAATGTGTGTGTGTGTGGATCAGGATAACATCTCTGCTTTGTTTAGAGACGTTTCCTCTGTAGATCATTTCCATAAACACAAATATCACCTCTTCTCCTCCCCGCAGGGGCAACATGGCCGCCACGTGTTTCTGAGCAAACTGTGTCCAACCGAGAAACCCGAAGCATCTCAGACCAAGGAACCTCCTGCAGAGGAACAACCAGACTCCTGTGAGACGAACGTCTGAAGGTAAACATGGCGGTTCAGAAAATCCAGTCACTCCATCAACATGGAGAACCTGCAGCTCGACCAGCAGGAAGGACAGAAATAGAGACCACTACACTCTGAATCAGGCTCTGGGGCCAATCAGAGCTGAAGGGACAAATTTCTTGTTCCACTGTAAAAAAATATCATTAATTAGCTTGGGCTCATTTAACAAAGTCATATTTTCACCATGTGATTCATTCATTTATAAATGTCACACATTAAGCTAAATATTTAAATATTTATCTTCACACAAAAAGTTTGTTAGCAAATTAGATATTAAGCTTCGAGCAAAGTATTCAGTTAGCAAGCTAAACATTACAACTAAATGTGCAGCTCAGAGACTTTTGGGTAATATAATATAGGAAAAAGCAGAAGTGAACAATTAAAATAAAATTTGATCTCGCAAACTTTACAAACTTCTGCTAGCGAGTCACTTCTTTACCAACGTTTCATTTCCTCATTTTTTACCCAACATTTCAGCTTAAAATAAAAGGATGAGCTATTTTAATAAAGAGATACTAATTCATCAGCACTGAAGGATTCAGTTTACAGAAGTTCACAAAACACAGCTTCTATTCTCAGCATTCAATTTTATCATTACTGGCAATTCAATTAGCATATTAGCTTGATATTTAGCTGGCTAAAATAGCTAAAGTTAAATAGTAAAACAGTTAAATGCTAAATAGCGCTATTTTAAATAGATAAATATTTTAATGACTAAAATAGTTTAGTTTTTGGTTCAGTCGACGATTGAAACTAGTTTACTAAATATATAGCTGACTAGCTAGCAAGCTATTTAAACAGTTCATCATTTTAAATAATTTTCCAAATACGTATCAGATACATATTAATGAAGTGTTTAGCTCTGAGCTAGCTACATATTTAGTTAGCATGTTGTTTATTTGAGATAGTTAGCTAAACATTTATCAGGCGCATACTGGCAAAGCATTTAGCTAAAGATAAATAACCAGCATAGCTAACTTCATGTCTAGCTTGCTAACTAAACGCTCAGTTTGAAATTGACATCTGTAAATGAGTGTCATTGTGAAAATCTAGCTGCAGGTCGTTTGACCTGTTGATTAAAGTAACGGCGAGCAGTAGAAGGAGACGTGTGAAACCTCTGAGCCCCTCCCTGCTGTGTGCGCAGGCTTCTGACGCCGCCATCATGCAGACCGTGAAGTGCGTCGTCGTTGGCGACGGCGCCGTGGGGAAGACCTGCCTGCTCATCTCCTACACCACCGGAGCGTTCCCCAAAGAGTACATCCCCACCGTGTTTGACAACTACAGCAGCCAGGTGGGTCCCTGAATGCGCCTCGGCTCAGCCGGTGCGTTCAGGAAGAGTCGGAGAGGCAACGTGGAGTGAGAACCAGAGGCATCTGGAAAACATCTGGAAGTTTGCATGAGTCATGCTGGCTGCAGGCTCTGGACCAGGCAGCTGATCAAGCTTTTCTGTCCTGCAGGAAAGAAAAAAAAAAAACTACTGGGACTCTGAGTGAAGCTGTCAGATTAGAACAGTAAAATCATAAAAATGAACAATAAACACAAGAGTCTCTGGACAGCAGGTGGAGCTGTCTGCAATAACCTGACAGAATCCCTCACAGAGTCAAGGGCCCCGTCAGGCCTCTGGCATGCTCTCTCTGTGGAGGCAGTGGGTCTCTCTGGGTACTCCACATCCTCCACATGTACAAAATATCCATCCAGAAAGTATTCACATTTTACACATTTATGTTTCAGCCTTATTCCTCATGAATTATAATAAAAACAACAATTTTCCTCAAAAATCTTCACTAAAAGCCCATTATGACAATGTGAGGAAAGGTTTTAGACTGTGACTGAAAACAGAAAACCAAAAGGAATCACATTTACATCATGAAAAATTATCAATTAGAAGAACATGTTTGGTATCAAATCATGCATATTTCCAACCAGAGAAATCACATTTTCTTAACCTTGTGTGTTTTTTGTAACGATTCACATTTTTCAAATGGCCACGGTTGTTGAAAAGAAGAATCTATGTTGTAAGAAGTTGATGACAGTGGTGGAAAAAGTTAGCTTCAACAACCACTACTAAACATGAATCCTAGCATAAGCTAATGCTAAACCGCTAAGTGAACAGGCTAATTCTAGATTGCTAACAACAAAATATACTTGAAGTTAATGCTAAGCACATACAAAATTAGCATAAGCTAAAACGAAACTACTTATCACCCAAAAACTTGCTAATCACACACACAAAAAAATTACTGACAGCTAACGCTAAACATAAAGGTATTAGCAGAATCTATAGCTAAACCACTAAGCATATGCAAGAAAATTAGTGGAGGCCAATGTTAAACTGCTAAGCATATCAAACATTACCAGAAGCTAATGCTAACCATTGAAACTAACAGCAAACTCCTCAGTTTCTGATTCCAAATATTGTTATTTTATATTGTATGAACAGGATGAACAAAACCATAATGTGACATAAAATTAATCCAAATTATGACAATGAGGAATGTTTTATGGCTTAAAAGACTCAAAAACGGTGGCTGTCTTAAAAAATTCCTGTGAAATTGAAGTGGCTGATGTCAAGTTACACCAGAAAGATTTTCACAGAAACAAATACCTGTGTAGATTTTAGATGAAACTAAAACATTTAATACAATTTGCAATAAAAGGCGTTACGAAAAATGTGTCAAAGTGCAGTGCAGTGAATGTCACATGGCACGAACGTGTGAAGATGTGAATGGGTGAAGGTGTGAATGTAGTGTGAAGTGCTGCGCAGGCTGTTTACTGCATGAAGGCTCCAGTTCCCTCATCAAGGCAGTTCACTGAAACATTTCTGCTACTGGCATGATCCAGCCAATCAGAGCTGTCCAACCGGTCCTGAGAGCCAATCACTCCTGTCAGAGTTTGAACAACTCTTCATGAACCCCTGTCTCTACCTGTGGTGCGTTCAGGTGACGGTGGACGGACGGATCATCAGTCTGAACCTGTGGGACACGGCGGGGCAGGAGGAGTACGACCGGCTGAGGACGCTGTCCTACCCGCAGACCAACGTCTTCGTCATCTGCTTCTCCATCTCAAGCCCCGCCTCCTACGAGAACGTCAAACACAAGTGGCACCCAGAGGTCAGAGGTCACACATTCCCACAACGCAGCTACAGTGCATGTTGTGGTGCAGGAGAATCCAGGAGGTCACTGGGTTGAGGTCCTGATGATGCTCACTCCATCCAGAACCGTCAGAAGAACGATGGTTCTGGGCTGGATGGGTCCGATTTCAGGTCCAGTTACAGCTGACTGGGGCCCAGTAGGGTTCATACTGTCCTTCTGCTGCTTATTCTCCAGGTTCTCTGAAGGTCTTTTCTTTGAAGTCTAGATGACAAGTGGAGAGTCAAAACAAGAGGTCTTTACCTGCCAGCGTTGGGTCAATCTTTGTCCTTTCGACCTTTGTAACCCGAATGTGGCGTCAAACACTTTGGCGTAACAAAGACGTCCAACGTCCGGCCGGCTTGTCTGACCTGATCAACCCTTAAACCTTGGCTGCCACATTTGAGTTTAGATCTTTCTGTAGAGGGTCTTGAGCTGTAGGACTGGACTGGTACCAGTAACTCCATCCAGGAGCCAGAGTCTCTAAGAGTCTTCAGGGTTCATTTAGATCTCCTCCGTTGTTGTGTAAGGACCTGGAAGGTCATAGAGTTCAGAGAATGGACAACACTTCTGTTTTGAGGTGATGGTGGAAGTGTGCCTGGTTGGTCATCAAGGCGTTGTCATAGCTACGACCTCCTCGCGTTATGTGATGAGGATGCGTGACTTGCTAGAGTGGCTGTTTGACTCAGTCAAGACCCGGAGCAGTCTGAGGTAAAGACCAGGACGTGTTTAGACCAGCACTGTGATTCTCTTTAGACCAAATCCAGGACCAGATTTGAGGCACTTTCCAGCTGATAGCCCAGTAGAACCGGTTCTATTGGGTTCAAAACTTCATCTGATCCATCTGCAGCTGCTGTGGTTCTGTTTCTTTCAAACCAATCAAACCCTTTGAGCAACCTGTTCCCCTCCTAGCCTGTGGGGGCGCTGCACCAAGAACCACAGAAGGAAACCACACAAAAACCTCTGAAGACGCTGAGAGCAACTTCCTTCTTCGCCAAATGGAAATTAAAATGTCAGATTTCAGCGGTTGGAGGATTTCTCTTTAGACTTTGGCTAAAAACCACGAGCCATTTCTCCTGCTAGCGTTAGCCTAGGACTTTAGCTGTGGTTGTATTTACCCAGAATGCCCTGCACCGTCGTCGGCTTCCTGCTTTTGGAGCTGTCTCTGGTCTGCTTGCCGTTCACATATGCATTCAACCTGAACCAGAGTTCAGGTCAACCAAACCCAGACTGAGGTTCGGAGGAGCAGAGGTCAGAGGTCAATTGGCATCCACACCAAGCAAACCAAACTGAACTTTTTAGGCAAGTTGCCTGGAGTTTGATTAAAGCAGATTGGACTAATTTAGTGGAAAGGCCCCCATAGAGATTACAGTAGCTAAGAAATATAATCTTTTTCACAGGATCTAGACTTTGGGCAGCTTTATGTTCCTGAACAAACCGTGACTCTGGTCTCCTTTGCAGGTTTCCCACCACTGTCCCAATGTTCCCATCCTGCTGGTCGGCACAAAGAGCGACCTCCGGAACGACGCAGACATCCAGAGGAAGCTGAAGGAGCAGAACCAGGCGCCCATCACCCACCAGCAGGGCCTGAACCTGGCCAAGCAGGTCCAGGCGGTGCGCTACTTGGAGTGTTCGGCGCTGAACCAGGATGGCATCAAGGAGGTGTTCACCGAGGCGGTGAGGTCCTACCTGAACCCGCAGCCCACCGTCACCAAGAGGCCCTGCGTCCTGCTCTGAGAGTCTGCTCTAAGAAATGTTTCAACCTTTTTTCTCTCATTTCATTAGATTTTTACCCTTTAATTAGAAAAAAAAAATCGCAATTTAAGACCCGAGATTAAAGGTTTTCCAGAACTTGTGATGCAAATTGACCGGCTGTGGGTTGAATGTGTAGCTCTGCTCTGATTAGTTCAGACTCAACCAGAGCCGTCTGAGCATGTGCAGGACGTCTGAGATCTTCTACAAACTCAAATTTCAGCAAAATGCTCCAAAAATGAGCGGCTTCAGGTTCAGATGGACCTGGAGACATATTAGTTCTGCTGAAGCGTCCGTGAACCAGTAAAGCACCAGTAAAACCAGTGGCTCTGGTGGAGTCGGGCTCCAGGAACAGGTTTGGCGTCTAAACTGAGAATTTAACTGCAGAAACACTGTTTACATGATGGCTCCGATGAAAATGCAATAATCTAACCCCGTCTGCTCTGCGTCACTCACACTGAGGTCCTTAGAAACGCTGCGAAACATTTAGTTTGATCAGACTGCAGGAACGACGAGCTGCGCTTTCTGGAGACAAATGGATAAAAAAAAAAGACTGATCTGGACTAAAAACAGCAATTTAAACATAATGAAAAAAAATAAACCTGATTTTTCTAATGAACCAACCGAGAGCAAGGTTAGCAAAGAAGCTAATGCTAACTAATATCTAAACTACAACCAAGATAGTTGTAGTCGTAGTTAAATATCCAAAGTATTTAAATTAAAACGTCTGATTTCAAACTGAATGTTTCTGCAGTTTCTGTTTTGTAGCTAAGCTGCTAAACCACTTTAGCTTCATTTGCTTCCATCTTCTGTTAAATTTATTGATAATTTGTTTTTATTGAAGTAATTTACATTATTTTATTTAAGTGGAAAGTACAATAAAAACAAGTTTCATATTGATCGTCTGCTGCATTTTATTTCAATAATTTCTTCTTCGCTAGCAGCTAACATGGTTCTAGAAGAGGCTAGCCTTAGCCTTAGCAAGATGGCGGCAGGACTGCAGTCAGTAAAGCTGAAGGGTCAGACTTCTGGGACAGCTGTAAAGCACGGTGATGGTGGGGTGGTGCTGTGGGTTCTGGGTTTGGGCGCTGCAGAGGAAGTGATTCAACACAAGATAAAAGATAATGAAGCCATTTCCTGTCACATGGTGTTTGCCGCCGCAGCCTCATCGGGCTCTGGGTTGGTTCAGACGGCGTCAGAACCAACCAGCCAAGGACCGGCCCGTCCAATCAGACTGGATTCTGGTTTCCTCTTTTATGATTATAAAAAGCTGCGGCTGGTTTCTAAAACCTTGATCTAAAGTTAGATGTTGTTTTTCAGCAGAAACAGCTGCTTTACGGTAACAAGAAACCTCATTATCATTCAGATGCTTCCCGAAACAACACTTGAGGCTTCAGTGAGAGCTGAGCAGAGATCAGCCTCTGATTGGCTGCTGGGGAAGGCTCAATAATTAACATGTTGAGAAGCGACTTCCCCAAACCACGGGAGTCAAAGGTCGCTTCCAGCCCTAGCATCCAGTTAACAGGACGGTCTCCATGGAAACCAGAGCTGCATAAGGCGGTCTGAGTTACATGTTCTCAGGGAGGGACGGCTGTCCCCGTTTGATGCAGCGGCGCCCCCTGCTGACAGAAACAGTGAGGCGGCGCAGCTTCGTTAAAACTTCGTTTATTTCATTGAATCCTCAGAATCCACAGCGCAGGAAATATCTAAAATGTTTGTTTCTTGATGAAAAGTTTAGAAAAATCTGAAAACTTTATCCGTAGCTCTGTGCTGTGTCCAGCCATGATAGTAGAAAATTAGGTGGAAGGAAAACCTTTGGTGCATCCTTCATGATCCAGGATATGAGATGATCTGGGTCGCCATGACAACCGCTGGTTCTGGTCCACTGGGTTCCATCAAGTCCAGCTGAAGCTCTTCATGATGGCGCTGGAGCTGGTACCGACCCACACGGCCAGCGGCAGCAGGACCCGACTCCGTTACCATGGCAACCCAGTGCAGACAGCAAACTGGTCTGGAGTTTAAGTTTTTATTAAAAGCAGTTCTGTTCAATAGCTCAGAACCAAGGCTGAACCTTTCTGTTCTCTGGGATCAGAACCAGGAGTATCCGGGCCAGGAACCCAGTGGAACCAGTAGAAACAGGAGGGTTTTAGTTCAGTGCTCCCACCATCTGGTCTAGGAGTTCCATCTGAAGTTCTGATTCCTTCCTTGTGGGACGGACTGGTTGGCTCTGGTCCAGTGGGTCAGAAGTGGTCCTGTCCCCGTCAGTACTGCTTGTCCTCCGGCAGAGTGGCGACCATCACTTGAGCGTTCCCGAAGTCCCAGAAGGCCGTCATGTGGAACGCCATGTTGGAGAACACCACCAGGTACTCGAAGAAGGCGAACAGCGTGTAGACTGCAAGACGGAGACACACTGAGCATGTGCAGACTGTGGCGGCAGCGTTGCTGTGACAACAAGCCACTCACCTCCTGTCTCACAGTACTTGTTGTGGCGTCTGAAGAAATATGCGGCGGCGACACAGCAGCTGATGTTGAACAGGAATATGCGGGCTTTCCACAGGAAGGATGTTTTCTCCTGAACCAGAAATGGAAGAAACCAAGAAGTGAAGGAGGTTCTGACCTGTTCTCCCACTTCAGAACCATTTATTACCAGTTATTCAGTTCATTTCTGGACCAAACCAGAACTTTCTGCAGTTGTTTAGCAACAGAAAGTGGCTGCAAGTCAATGATCAAGTATGAGCAAAGGCAGTGGTGGGAAAATCTGTCTGCGCCAACGCTAAAGTAATAATCATAAACTATTAGTTCTGCTAACGCTAAAGTTCTATACTAACCTGGTATAGACCACCATATACCAGGTTAGGCGACTAAACGCCTAACCTCAGAATCCACAGCTGACTACTAAAGGTAGTCACCTACCTTTAGTCAGGTAGGTGACTAAAGTGTTATACCGCTATGGTACTTAGCATAAGCTAACGCTAAAGAGATCTACCAACATTCTATGTAGTGGGAGCCATTGCTAATGTGCTATAGCAACAATTTAGTTAGTGTAAGCTAGCGCTAAAGTGTTACACCAATGCAGTATTTACCCTTAGCTATTCAAATTATATGTGCCTTTGAAAAACTACAACCCCTATAGTTTCAATCTCATTTTGAAGCTATTATTTTCGTTTACTTTACTATCAGTGGTGTGGCATTTAGCCATTAGCCTTAGCATTAGCTTTGGGCCAATAACTACAGCTAAGATGATTTATGACGGAGTTGAACAGTAAACTGGGATGTTAAATGTTGGTAGAATTTGGGTCAGATCGGGTCTGTTTACCTCAGGATTGACGTAGTGCCTCTTGATGACGTACCACAGCCTGCAGGTGATGAGCATGTGCAGCAGGGAGCAGCCGATGAACATGACGAAGGAGTATTTATGAATCTCTGGACACAGAGAAGCAGGTTAGAGTCAGAGCAAGAGGCGGCGACAGGCTCCGCCCCCTCCTGCTGACTCACTGTAGGATTCGGTGGAGGCCACGTAGGTGAGCAGCAGCAGGCCCGTGTTCTCGGCCAGGCTGCTGACCAGAGCCAGGGCGCTCAGCAGCAGCTCCGGCAGCCTGGTGGCGAAGCGGCCGCGGTAGAAGTTGAAGTAGGCAACGGTCACCAGGTACCGCGGTGCAGAGTGCAGACCCACGCAGCTGCGCCAGATGTAGATCTCCGGTTCGCGGCTGATGGCCGAGCTGATGGACGGCAGGTAGTTGGACACCTGGACAGGTAGCAGGGACAAAATCGGACAGCTCTCTCACACCCTGTGGGTGACCTTTGACCCAAACAGCTGAACTGGTTTAGCCTACACTCACTGGAGTATTTCCAGCTACAGCATCTGTCAGATATCAGTCCAAACTTGGACTAGGCCACTGAATAACCTTCAAATAGCAGGTTGGTGTAGCTCTTTAGCATTAGCTTTAGCTAAACACCATGTTGGTGTCGTGCTTTAGTGTTAGCTTCTGTTAGACAGCACATTCCTAACTACCCAGCTAGTGGTTAGTAGCTAGTTTATTATTAGCTAGTTTATTGTTAGCTAGTGTTTATTACAAGCTAACTAGTGTTTAGCCTTACTGAGTCAGAACATAATGGAGATGTGATGAACCAGAACCACCACCGGACCAGTTGAAGGTCTGATCCGGTGATCTGGGCTGGACCGGATCAGAACCGGCCCGGCTCACCTGGCAGTGTGTGTAGGTGGATTCCTCGTAGTGGTACATCAGCGAAGTGAGTAGGCAGGCCAGCAGGCCCGACAGAGGGAGCAGAACCGTTGCCACGGCGAAGCTGGTGAACTGGACCCGGATCAGAGGCCGGTCCCGGTCCAGGTTGCTCAATAGGCCCTGGAGCATCCTGGATCAAACACAGAACCAGACATGAGGTCCAGAACTCGACCCAGGAATCAGAACTCAGATGTCCTGAATCGGACCATCCTGTCCTCCAGCAGGTTCTTCTACACAGGTCCATTGGACTGACTATAAGGAACGGATCAGAACCAGCTCTACACCTAGCACAGAACCATTGGGCTTCTACCACCAACATTCATCTGAACTCACTTCATGTCTCCTTCGGACAGCAGGATTAGAAACAGCACAAACACACTATCAGAACCAGACAGAATTCAGACCCGGTTTGCCTCAGGACCAGAACCAGAGTTGGTGTTCTGGAACTCCTCTGACCCGTTCAGGTTCTGATACTCAGCCAGCTTCCAGCTCAGACTTCCTGAATGACCAGGAGCCCGGCTGATTGTTCCAATGATGAAAACAGAACCTCATTGGCTGAGGTTCTGGTTCCGAAGCCCTGGAAAGTAATCACACCCTCTGTTGCATTTTTTAAACGTTTCAGATCACAAAACTAAAACAAAATAAAAGTTTTAAATCAGACTTTAATCGTTATGCTAAAAATGAATGCGAAGAAGCAACAAACTGACTATGAATGACCTTTGACCCACTGACTTACTGAAATGATTTGATTCAGACTCATTGTAGGTTTTTACATCAGATTTAAGTCTGGAGTTTGACTAGACCACTGGTTTTAAAGCTCTTTCCAGACTGACAGATGCAGCTTTTTTAGTTTAGCCTGCTTCGTGTTGTGAGACGGGTTCTGTTCGTTTAACGACATGGACTTAGCCCCAGCTGGTTCCTGGCTTAATGCTGGTTTGCATCAATTACTTCTGAGAAAACCAGTAAATTACTTGAAAATTTATTTTCTGTTGTGAGAATAAAGAATAAATCTGCGTGGGTGTGAAAACTTTATCATATGTGAATAAACAGTTCAGATCTAAATATTGATTCTGTGATTTTAGTTCATCCTAATTTATCTGAAGGCGTTTCTGAAGAAACTCACCTGTTAAACCTTTAATGACGTCATCTAACGATAGTTATGAACCTGAGCGGTTTTATGATTTTGAGTCAAAATCTTTCCGTCGTGAGGGACTTTCAACCCGTTAAGCGAGTCCAGATGAACAAAACTTTACCGAACATGTTTATAGCCTACGGTTGCGGCTGCTCCTGTTCGGACTCCAGCTTTACCTGCCCAGGTGTGCGCTGTGCTGACGTCAGCAGCCGATCATCAGTTCTCCGGTCCGCTTTCAACAGGTCTGACCTTCACAGGGATCCGGTCCGGTCCGGTCCGGTCCGGCCCGGTCCAGCCCGGCTCGGTCAGCTGCTCCGCCACGCTCCCATTGATCCCCCTTTAGCCCAGGTTAGCTCCGCGGCTAAAGTTAGCTCTGAACTTCGGTCCAGTTTGAGTTGCTCAGCGGCTCCCCGGTGGTTGAACTCTCAACTCTAAGGTCCTTCTGATCCGCCCACACTCACAGAGACGCTTTAGGTTCTTCTACGGGTCAAAGGTCAATGGTTCTGATCCAAAGAAACCGCTTCGCTTTCTTTAGTGAACTCCTGGAACTGATTTCCGATTGTATCTCGTTCTTCTTCTTTATCCTATTGGCGGTTGGCAAATAACTGAAGGAAGCAATACCGCCACCTACTGGTAAAGTGTGTGGACTACACGACAAACCAAACAAATAAAGGTAATTAAAGGACGGAAGTTCCTTAGGTTCTAGATGGGCCCAGTCCGGTCCGGTCAAGTTCCTATTCTGGAACCTTCTGGTCGTTAAATCTTAATAATCTGGAGAAGTTTCCCAATAAACCGAAGCACAACGGAGGATTCGTGATCTGATGGGTGGAGACGCCACTACGAGAGTACGTGGAAGTTTGGTATGTGTGACATCAGCTTGACGTAGAGAACCAGCTGATGCGGCAGCGGGAAGCAGAAAGTTCTCCAGAACCCGTGGAGCTGAAGTTCCTGCAGGTAAGCTCTCCTGAAGTTCGATTGGATCAATTGTCCAATCGAACTTCAGGGTTCGATTGGACAGTTTGAAACCCTCCGCGGCTCATTAACCTGCTGCTGCTGTCATATCAGCGAGCCTCGGCTGATAAATGATTAACCATCTGATCCAGCGACAGTTTGTTTTATTACACGTTTACTACAGTTTTACTTCTCGAAGAAGTTTTAATGTCTGATATTATGACTCAATAAAACTTAATAGATTATATTTAACTTCTTTTTTTGGTTAATTTGTGGATTTAGTCAGTTATTATCTGACTAAATAACTGTCCCCGTTGTTTATCTGAAACCAGAGGCGTTTGGATCTACACTGGGGCCATAAAGGTTGCATAAATCTTTCCACTCTTTTGGTTTACGAATATTTTTTTTTTCTGTTTAGAAATTAGGTTTCAGTTTCAAATCTTTATAAATTTAAAATTTTTAAAAATATGTTTTTCATTTTCAATTCTTTTTTTTCTTAAATATTTTTATTTTAAATTTTTAGTTTAGAATAAAAATATTTTTCAGTTTTAATGTATTTATTTTACTTTATTGTTCCAGTTTAATTTCATAGAACCGGTCCAAACGAACTGGTGGTTCTGGCACACAGCGGGGAAGTACTGGATCTGTCCAGCAGAAGGCGCACTGTCTCCCACTCTGCAATAAATCAGTTATTTGTCTTCACACACGGACAACACTTTATATTAAAACCGGAAGGAATGAAAAGTAAACAAATCTCAGACAGAAACATGTTTTAGTTTGAGGGACTGACAGGCTGTTTTGCAGGTCGGATCCAGAGAGAAGAAAACCAGCTTCTGCTCAAGAAGTTCTGCTCAGTGTTGGATCGGACCATGCAGACAGAAAGGAACAGGAGAGGATTTGAGGAGCATTTTATTGAACGGCAGCACTTGAAACTCAAAGATCTAAAAACAAAAGCTCGAGATGGAGGTGTGAAAAACAGATATCTGAACAAAACAAACATCCCAGAATATCCCAAACCAGAGTTCCACGTGAATCTTCTGAAACATGAAACTACAGGATCGGGGCTATGTGGGATCTGGAGGGATGGAGGCTTCAGGAACCCATTCGGAGAACCTTGGATATGGTGGAGTCTGGCTGTGGGAACAGACCAGATGAAGGACGCAGAGACGAGGCTCCTGGAGAAGACGTTCCCAGACCGGACGGAGGGCGAAGAACCTGAGCAGCAGAACTTCCTGTGGAGGTTTGCCACGTCTCCAGCCTTCAAGGAGACGTCCCGGCTGGGCTGGTACCGCTTCACCTTCCCCCTGCAGGAGGTGCTGACGGCCTACAGCGAGCAGGTAACACCTCTCCTCTGGTCACACCATGAATTTCTGCTGAGGTCACAGGGTCATCTTTAGATCTAGGACCTGCTGGATTGGGAAGAGGGAGCAGGACTCAAACAGCTTCACCATCCAAACAGATTGATGTACAGATGGATGTATGGATGAAGGAATGAATAAACAGATGGATGAATGAATAAACTGATGGGACTTTGATGTCTGGGATTACGTGGATTGCTCTGCAGTTGTCTGGTTCGTTCCCCGCTCCATCCGATTCCGATTATTTCCAAATTGTCTGTTTGTGTTTCTTTCAGTTCTGCTCTGGAGCCCGACCCATCATGCGGACGTACAGAACTGTGCTGTACTCCCAGGAAGTGATGCACGTGGTTCTGATCCACAGTCCAGCCAATGAGAGGAAGTTCTCCCAGTACCCCCCCCTGAGCGACGCCCCGGACGCCGTGTGTATTTACAGAGATGGACATTTTCTGTGGAGACCAGAGGCGATGTGTGAGACTCACGGGTAACCTCTCCTGACACCTAACTGGAGATCCACCCATTGCCATGGAAACGGCAATGTTCTGATACACGCCGTCCTCGTCTCTTCCTGTCAGGTACGAGCTGATCAACCGGCAGGGAAGCAATCATCTGGAAGCCCTGAGCGCCTCCCCACCTCAGTTCTATGTTTGGGATCACGTCGCTGTCGCCCTCCATGTGGGTCAGAACCAGGTTGGTAACAGCAGCTGCTGCCTTCAGTCTTTTCCTGGTATGAAACTAGCTGTGCACCTTCTGACTGGTTCTGGCTCAGACCCAGTAAAAGCAGTTCTATCTGGGTTCCAACCTGTGGAGTCCCTTCATTCACCTTATCAATCAAAACATATTTCTAGTTCGATTTTATAAATATCATCATTAAAATTGTTCCCTGCCAGTGGTGGGAACAGTGTCATTAACTGCAAGGCTAATTTTTCATTTAGTGCTTTTGCACTTTTGCTAACTTTGAAAACATTGAGCGCACTTAGCTTCGCCTCAGCTAATTGTTCTGGGTAAATTCTGGAACGCCAACTTTCTTAGCTGCTTTGTAAACTTTCAGTTGAATAAAGTTCAACATGCTCTTATTTTGAAGCAGCAGAGGCGCTGAAATAACCCAACATGTTGAAGCTTTATGTTGAGACTAATGGATGGATGTCGAAGCAGAAGTTTATTCCTCCTTTTTCATGTTGCAGGTAATGAAGTTTAGTGCTGATCAGCTGAGAGCCAGGCTGGGGTTCTGCCAGCTGGATACAGTGAACTATAGTGCAGCCAGTGAAAAGCCGGAGGATTTTGAGGACGCTAAAGCAGCAGTGAGGAGGCTGTGGCCGGGCTGGAGCGGCCCTCTGCAGATGGAGCCCTCCCTGAAGCAGAGCTTAACAGGTTGGACCATGTGGTTACTCCAACAGTTCAGTTTTTATCCACTCACACTGAAACATTAAAAGCTGAATTAATAAAACACAGAGACCTGTTTCTGCTTTGATGATGCAACCTGTTTATGTGATGGATGAATGGCTTCGCCTCCACCTCCTCCGTTAGGACTTCATGTTCCCTCTGCTCCAGTTTCAGACATCCAGCTGGTTCTGGTTGGGTGGGATGGAGTTGGAAAGAGCTCCAGTGGGAACACCATCCTGGGAAGAAACGGCTTCAGGACCAGGGCTGCAGTCAGTCCGCCTTCAGGTAGCAGCTTACAGGAATCAGTCATCTTCACTAACATCTGTTCTGCAAAAACACTGACAACTTCACAAAGTCACCAGCCAGGAAGAGTTTTCTTCTCCATGTTTCCTAGCAACACAGAGACACACCAAACCAAAAGGCTTTCACACCTGAGGGACTTTTAGAGACCAACTAACCCAGCAGTCAAGGTGGGGTACCCGGGGAGAACCTATTCATCCACAGGGAGAACATGCAACTTCAAACTCAGGAGCTTCTCATTGCAGGGCTACTAGGGCTGCACCATCATGGCAGACTACTTAGACTTTATTTAGTTCAATAATTAAAAAAACTGCAGAATCTGGTTCAGCTCATCCAGTGAGCAGCAGCAGCATTTTTAACGCTAATAAAGTTTTATGTCAGATAATTAACACAGTAAATAAATAATGGCGTTATAATGAGGTTAATTTGAACTCAAATGAACAGAAAACATAATGGCTTAGATGATAAGATGATAAAATAATAATATTTTAGCTCAGGATGAGACAAAGGCCTCATCGTCAGGCCTCATCACCCGGCGCGACGGATGATGACCATCGTCACATCAGGAGGCTTCCAGGTTCGAGAACATCGTCCAAGATCAGAATCAGTCATTCTGCAGGGGGGACCGGTACACTTCATCACACAGATCTCAACACGAGGAAGGAACTTGATGTAAATGGGCCAGAACTCCAGTCAACTGTGGTGTGAAGGTTCTAGAAGGAGAATCAGAACATTGGACCTGAGTCAGTTTAAAATTAATTCCACTAAACACTGAGGAGACGGATGTAAACTTCCATCTAATTATTCAGATGATTGTCAGATCTAAATAATTTTATTGATCTGTAGGTTTTATTGATAAAGCTTCTGAGTGTCTTCAGCCGTTGTTGGGTCAGCTGATAATTCAGCCGTTTCCTGTAGAGTCCAGTTTAAAGATAGACTGTGAGCTGGTGGTCTGGTTTCTGTCCTCAGGTAGAAGCCAGTGTTGTCTGCAGAGAGCCAACGTCTTCGGCAGGGAGGTGACCGTCATCAGCACTCCGGCTCTCCCAGAAACATCCGACCCTGAGGTCAGGAACGAGATCTTCAGGTGCATCAACCGGTCGACGCCGGCGCCTCACGCCATCCTGCTGGTCGTCAGACTGGGGCTCCTCACCACGCATGTGGAGGAAACAGTGAAGCACATGGAAAAGATGTTTGGAGGAAATGTCTGGAGGCGCACCATGATCCTGTTGACCCACCAGAACCAGGCAGAACCAGAGATCCAGAGCCAGCTAAAGGAGATTGAAAACCAACTGAAACTCCTGTTCAGGAAAGTAGGCAACAGATTTCAGGTCCTGAACAACAAACCCGACCACACAGATCCCCAGCAGGTCTGGGATCTGCTGCACAAGGTCATCCAGATGCTTAGTGACCTCAAGTAGACTTTAAAATCAAATCAAATCAAATTTTATTTGTATAGCACATTTCAGCAGCAAGGCATTTCAAAGTGCTTTATATCAACACAAAAACACAAAGTCATGCATGTAAATACATTGTTACATATTACATTAAAGCATAAAATCTTCAGATCAGGTCAAAACCTCAGATTGTTTACAGGGTTTAAAGGGTGTTTTATCACCTGAAGAACATCCGACATATGGTTGTTTTTCTTTCAGTAGATTTTATCCAATCATTGATGCCAAAGCATGGATAAAACTGTAGGGATACAGGAACGTTGCTACCAGGAAGGTGCCGACTGCCTCCAACTGGGAACTTTCACATCTAACATGAGACTCAGAGATTTCTGTCTGTCATCTTTATGTCATCGTTGACCATGATCATCCTGTATTAACTAAAAGACAAACACTGGGTTAGTACCTCCACATGAGTCCATACAATAAGATCCATAACTCTTACCAATCAGAAAACATAGTAAATTAGTCATTTTTATTTTACTGGACCTTCCCACAACTTATGGACCTGAATTTAAAGAATGTACTTCACTGTTGGCTCCCCTCTGTTAGTGACCAAAAACCTACAATAGTCACTGAAATAACTTGAATCATAAAAGTCCTGGTAAATGATTAAAGGCCTGTACTTGCAAAGTGCTTTATGAAGTCCAGAGATCCCAAAAGCACTTCTCTACCTTCAGGCCCGGTCCCAGTACTCACACTGCACCCTATATCCTCTATGAAGTGTGGACTCAAATGGGAACTTCAGGGTTCGATTGCACAAGTTACAAGTGTGCAAATATTAGAAAACAATCCGCCTCTGTGTTGTAACTTCGACATACAAACAGTGATCACTGTTTTGGCATTTGGGGTGCCAAAAACAACAACAAAAAATGATTTTAAATGTAGAGTCAGGGTATTTCTGGTGTACAAAATCATTGCAGGAGAAATTGGATTGTTCAAATGTGTTTGATATGACTTGTTGAATAATGCAGATCAAAATTTGACACAAAATTATTTCAAAACATTACAGTTGAAAACTGATTTTTATTGCGACAGACGGCTTGCTCTGTGAACACAGCCATACTTCCAATGGCAACTTTTAATTGTCTGATGAAAAACACACTTTAAGATGCACCTCCAGTCAATTTAACAGTCTAAAAGTCAATTCCTCCTCCTGCTATGAATCAGCTAGTTAAAGGATTGATTACACGTTCAGCTGTTACTCAAAAGAACAATCTGACTATCAATGGCTGTGAGTTTATAGACAAAAAATTTGCACATTCATAAGGAACACTGACGTCAAAATTTCATCCCCACTGACCTGAGAAGAAAACATGTTTAAAAATCAGGATGATCTATCAAAAGATGAGAACCAAACTAAAACATGTACTGCTGTCTGCATGTTCTCCCAGTGTCGGCTCCCTTTGGGGTCTCCAGCTCGCTCCCACACAGGAAATCAAGACTCTTGTCTCTAGGTGCGTGTCTGTGAGGCTGAGTGTCCTGTGATGGAGTGGAGTCCTGTCCAAGGCAGACTCTGCCTCTCACCCAGTGACCGCTGGAGACAGACGAGCAGGACGGCTGAAGCTGAAACTGAGGTCTGGTTGCAGAAGAAAGACGTGGCTGTGAGGATTCACTGAGACAAAAGAGTCACAGAGGACAGCCAAGTTAGTCAGCTGAGCCTGAGCCCTCCACTGATACTACACTTCCCAGCATGCACTCTGTCATATCATCTTTGACTGCGTGAAATGATGCAGCCTTTCCATCCTCCCTGGTTTTGAGAAACATTTCGTAAGGTGGTCTGGAACAAGGTCAGGTGAATGTGAACAAGAAAACAGCCAGAGTCAGGAGAGAGAACAACTGGAGAACTGCTGATCAGGTTCAAAGGTCAGGAGAACCTCCCGCTCATTGAAAGGAGAATTTAAAGAAATTAAATTTGGATCAGAACAGTTCAGTCTGGAGAACTGCTCCTCTCAGTTGTCTCCCTTATACAAAGGAATCATTAAGTATCTTCAGTCACAGGGTGGAGAGTCTCATGGTTTGTAAAGAGACGCCCTCTGACAGTTTTACTGTCTGTTTCAGATAACAGCAGAGCCGTCTGTGCTGTGTGAGGCTGTCAAACAGAACAAATACATTCTGTCTGAAACGTTTTAGACTAAAGGACTCCTTCAATCTACGTTTAGGATTGGATCATGCAGAATCGAACAAACAGGAGAGGATACACTGAACATTATGTTCGACAGAAACACCTGAAGTTAACAGAACTGAAATTGGAAGCTGAAAGGATTGGTTTGAAAAACAGATACCTCCGGACTGAAAACATCCCAGAATATCCCAAACCAGAGTTCCACGTGAATCTTCTGAAACATGAAACTAGGATCGGGGCTATGTGGGATCTGGAGGGATGGAGGCTTCAGGAACCCATTCGGAGGACCTTGGATATGGTGGAGTCTGGCTGTGGGACCAGACCAGATGAAGGACGCAGAGATGAGGCTCCTGGAGAAGACGTTCCCAGACCGGACGGAGGGCGAAGAACCTGAGCAGCAGAACTTCTTGTGGAGGTTTGCCACGTCTCCAGCCTTCAAGGAGACGTCCCGGCTGGGCTGGTACCGCTTCACCTTCCCCCTGCAGGAGGTGCTGACGGCCTACAGCGAGCAGGTAACACCTCTCCTCTGGTCAAAATAAAGATCTAGTTTTACTGCAACTGCAGGTCTTACTTTAAGAGAGTAAAAATAAAATATTTACTGGTTTTCCAAAGAAAGAGGCTCCAGGATTTTCAGGAAAACATGACGCTGCAAAACAATTCCACCCATATGGGAGATAAAGTCAGTCTCATCCAGTCCAGAACAAGGTTTCAGTGTTTGCTCAGCAGCATTTACAAGTGTCAACTACATGCACATTCCCAGGCTCGATGATTCTAGACTGCGACAAGTCAACCACCGTTAGCAGTGTTGCCTTGTTCCAACATGCAAGGACTTTGCATGCTCTCTCTGTGCATGTGTGATTTCTCTCCAGATACTCCAACACACAATCCAAAAACAAATCTGATCACTAGTCTCTCTAGAGCCTGGTCCTTGAGGGCTGGTGTCCTACATCTCTTAGACTGAATCACCTCCAAAGTGCAGTCACGTTCTCCAGAGTCCTGCTAATGACCTCATTATTTAAGTAGAGATACATCTAATAGTTGCAGGAGACCGGCCCTCGAGGCCTGGAGTTGCCCACTACTGCTCCAGATTGTCCTTGGGAATGTAAACACCCCCAAGGACGTCCATGTTTGTTCTGTGAGTCTCTGATGTCTTATGATGGGTGTCCATGTTGGATCCCTGTCTCTCCCTTATTCAGAAAACAGATACCAGGGACCCTGCTAGGACAAGCAGGTCTAACGCCTCTGAGATCTCCCTGTTATTTAGCTAGGCGCACCACTAGGAGGTCACTTCCTGATCATTCTGAAGATTAGAACATCCATCTATCCACCACCTGAAATCATCGTCCTGCCATTCCAGATCGGTCTGCCTTGGACAGGTAGATTTGGGACATGCTTTTAATCTTCTGGAGACAACTACATTTAAATCTGTTCATTTTAATCTGCTGCGATTCAGATGAGTTGCTGATGTTTCTTGTTGTAATGTTTAACCTGTATGGGTCATGTTGCAGTTTTAGAGTAAAATCTCTCTTTGATTATCCACTCAGGCTAAAGCTGCCGTTTTCTTCTCTTCAGTTCTGCTCCGGTTCTCAGCCCATCATGCGGGTCTACGAGACAGTCCTATACGAACAAGAAGTGATGCATGTTGTTCTGGTCCACAGTCCAACTAAGCAGAACTTCTCACACTACCCTTTGCTGACTGATGACCCAGATGCTGTTTGTGTTTACAAAGACGGACATTTTATCTGGAGACCAGAGGCCATGTGTGAGAAGCACTGGTAAGAGCAGCGAGCAGGAATGGTTCAACCCCCTCAGCATGACGAAGGATCCCATCAGAGATGGGATCGTTTTTACACAACAGCTACGTAGGTTGGAACTTGTGATTGGGTAGCGACACATGGAACCTACTGCTGTGTTTGGACCATGGTTCTGTCAGTGACCCAGTTTGGACCAAGCTTATTCTAAATCCCTTCAGAACCTGCTGAAGACCTCAAATCCTTTTACTTTGGACTCTCAGTTTTCACCATGTCTGAAAACGTCTTTGTTTTCTGCTCCTTCCAGGTTGAAGCTGATCTGCAGACCTGACAGCCGGCAGCTGGAGGCCTGTGGTGTCGCTCAGGATCTCTGTTATGTCTGGGACAAGGTTGCTGTTGCTCTGGACGTTGAGAAGACACAGGTACCCTCCCTGCTCACCCTGCAATGTCATTTATTGATCTTCTTCCCGTTGTAGTGGTTTTTTATGCTGTCTGCAAACAGTGAAGCTATGACTGATCCATCCGTAACAACATGCTCAAGTTCTGGTAGAGGAATTTATTTCTGAACCCCAAAGACCCAGAAAACAATCACACAATGATTACAGTCAGTATTTCAGAAGATGTTGTTGATGAATCCAGTCCATTTCAGTCCTAATGTCATCAGAACAAAAATTTTATATTTTGGTTAACAGCATAATTTTGATCGCATCATTCAATCAGCGTCTTTTCCGTGGAAAAACAAAGTTTCCGTCATAATTTTTCCATCTGCAGGTGCTGAAGTTTGATGCTGATCGGCTGAGAAGCAACTTGAAGTACTGCCTCCTTGATGACGTGAACTGCCTTCCAAAGGATCACAAATCTGTCAGTTTTGAAGATGCTAAAACGGTGGTGAAGGGTCTGTGGCCGGGCTGGACTGGTCCTCTGGAGGAGGAGAGCTCCCTGCTGCACAGTTTATCAGGTAGGCCAACGACACTCCATCCTGGGAAAGACTTCAACTAAACTCATGTGTGTCTCCTTCTGTAAAACCAGAACGTTTTCAATTGTCAATGAAGTCTGCATGAAAACGGTGTTTTAGGAAATCCTGGACTGCTGAACGAAGGAAATGAACAAAGTTGTTTTGTACATGTTGACCACGCTTTCAAATATTTAGCATTTAAAGTTGGAGCAAGAGGAATGGTTTTATTCTGTTTGTCGTGGATCTGCTCCCCACTGGGTTGTTTACCTCGCAAGCAATTTCTGATAAGCTTCATCAAGCTGGTGCCTTACATAAATCATGTCCAAACATTAGTGATTGGGTCAAATCAAACCTTTTAAAACTTCCACAGAGTCCGTGCCTTCAGGAAACAATCAATAGCCGATAGCCCAGATCCTCTGCATGAAGCAAAACCTAAAACAAGGGACTGATTTTCACTAGGCTGAGATTTTTTAGCAGATCTACCCAAACACACGCCAACAACCACAAAAATCTCCAACTAAAAACGAAACAAAGTGGAGAACAAGAAAACCTGACAAGAAGGACTGAAACGATACAGAAAAATAATCAGCTGCATAATTAATCTGAATCTAAAAATGTGACCAAAGCTTTAGATTTAGATTCAAATTGAACATCTGCACTTCATGTTCCCTCTGCTCCAGTTTCAGACCTGCGCCTGGTTCTGGTTGGGTGGGCTGGAGTTGGGAAGAGCTCTAGTGGGAACACCATCCTGGGAAGAAACGCCTTCAGGACCAGTCCTCCATTTGGTAAACCATCTTAGTCCTAATATGATGTTAGACCAGTTTACATTGTCTTCCTTACACCATCAAGACCAGATCTGTCTTCCTACCCACCACTACATCTACAGCAATGACCCAAACGTTCTGTTTTCTGGTTCTGATACGATCCGAGAAAACTGTAGCCATTATTATAAGCCAGTCAATTATTTCACTATGTTTACAGTCTGACTCATAATTGACATGATGTCGACTCCCTTGTGGAAGTAGAGCTTTCCTCCGACAAGCAAACTGTTATGATGGCAGAAAACAGACCTCAATGTACCTGAGACATTTCTTTGAGTCATTTTTGACTTATAAACCAAAACTGAGGCAAAGACGGCAGGCAAGAAAATTCTCCAACTCGTCCTACGTCGGGTCTATAAGACTATTAGTGGGAAATAACAGAGAAATCAACAATAAAGCCCAAGAGGAAAACTGAGGGACAGTGTGAACGCCGTGGGACGAATTTTGCATATACAAATTTTGCAAATGCCTAGAAACTTACAGTAATATGAAACAGTGTTTAAATGTCAGTAAAGCAGTTTATGTTTCTATGCTGCCAGAGAGCAAACCTTGAAATCTACATGCATAAAATCAAGCATAACTTCCTTCACTTATTGATCTGGAAATGATTAGATGTTTAACATTTCCAGACTGTAATAAATTGTATTCCTCCCTCTACACGTTCTAGTGAACGGCTGTCGGCTGCATGTCCCCCACTGACAACTTGGACTGTGATTACCTATTATTTTCCTCTAAATCTCTCTGACTGCAGTAAGTTATGATAGATACTGTCAATATTGTCAGAGTACTGTACTTGTAACGCTGATTGGTCAGTTGCTGACAAGTGCGGAAGATTGCTCTACGTCAGCATGGGGGCGGAGCCGGCGTCATGACAATTATCTTCCCTTGGAGGAAGTTGATAACTTTCACCGATATGTAATAAATAACCTTGACAGCAATGTCCCAGAGGAGCAGGACACTTTGCAGCAGCACCAGAACTTAATTTCTTTCCTTAAAGATCCAGTTTTGATCCAGTGTTTTTATTTGTGCCTCAAAATAAAAATTAAATATTCCTTTAATTGACAGATTCGGTTTGTCTTACCTCAGCCTGATGTAGCCAGAAATCAGAGCAAACCTTAGGCTAAGATTTGTTGTTTGCATTCTCTACATTATCTGAGTATCTCTGGTTACCTCATGTTCAGGGATAAAAGCTGGTTTCTGTCCTCAGGTAGAAGCCGGTGTTGTCTGCAGAGAGGCAACGTCTTCGGCAGGGAGGTGACCGTCATCGACACTCCAGCTCTCCCAGAAACATCCGACCCTGAGGTCACGAACGAGATCATCAGGTGCATCAACCGGTCGACGCCGGCGCCTCACGCCATCCTGCTGGTCGTCAGACTGGGGTTCCTCACCACGCATGTGGAGGAAACAGTGAAGCACGTGGAAAAGATGTTTGGAGGAAATGTCTGGAGGCGCACCATGATCCTGTTGACCCACCAGAACCAGGCAGAACCAGACATCCAGAGCCAGCTAAAGGACATTGAAAACCAACTGAAACTCCTGTTCAGGAAAGTAGGCAACAGATTTCAGGTCCTGAACAACAAAACGCATCAGAGAGACGTCCAGCAGGTCTGGGATCTGCTGTTTGAGGTGAAGGAGATGCTGGTGAACAATAAACTGGTGTAAACGGGACAGAACCACAGTTTCAGTGTCTGAAACTCCATCAAGAAGCAGGAGAAAATAGTAGGGAATGTTTTAGAGATGAAATGGCTCGGCTCACCTGTGTTTTCATCAAACTGTCATCCAGGGATGGAAAAGCACCTTCACTGACATGATCTCTGCCTCAACGCGTGACGAGCTCCTGGCTGTTCAGCACATAATTCATCCTGCAGGACTGCAGCAGAAATTTATCACAGAGTAACAACAGAGATCTCCAGATGCTGGAAAAACATCCAAGTGAACTTTTGTTTGTAGCGAGAGCAGCTTCACGCTGCAGGCATCATGTGAGAGTAGCATGCGGCTCTTTGAGCATCTTTTTCCTCTTTTTCTAATATTTGTGTTCAACAAATGTGATTCTGTGACGATGCTGAAATTTCCCACAATTTTTGAAGGAGACACTGGCACAAGCAGTGTAATGTACAGATGGTTATATTCTGTTGAGCCTGGAGTTGAGTCGTTCTAGGAGGAGAGACTTTAAGTGACAGATGAGAGCCGAATCATCCAGGATTGGATGTTGATTAGTGCTAATGCTCACAAAGCAATAGAGCCGTGGAAAGTAATCAATAGCCAGGGAGGCGGTCCAGTGAAAACATCGATTGGCTGGAATGTCAATGGTCCTGAGAAAGGGGAAGAGTATGTTCAACGCTGTGAGGATGAGTTGCTGAGGTTAACTGCAAACAGGATATCAGTGGCAACCATTGAGGAATTTCTGACAAAGCAATATAATTCAGATTTCACAGAGCGCAGCTGTGAAGACAAAACAGAGATGTCACAAGATAATCGGCAGTTCATGAAAGATGTGGAACAGTCTTGTCGGTCCTGTATAAGTCTCCCATTTAAGAACACGTCTCTGAAGATGTCCAATGATCGCAGTCAAGCTGGGCAGAGAGCCATCAGTCTCAAGAAAAAACTCATAAAGAACCCTGAGTTTCATGCTACTAGAGATTGAAACTGCAATAGCAAACTGACATAGATATTGGGTCTTTTGCCATAACAGAGACAGACTGGCGAACTGTACAGGGTGAGCCCGCCTCTCGCCCGAAACGTTTGCTGGAGAAAGACAGCGGCACCTTCCGACTCCACTAGGGACAAGAGAGTACAGAAGATGGGTGGATGGATTGTTTTATGCATTGATATCTGAATGAAACTGGATTTAATTCATGTTTAGGGAGATAAACTTTGCCTTGTGCCGACAGCCTCTGTGTGGTTTTAATTTAGTTATGGTATAATTAAACATTCCCTATAATTTTATCAAATTGTGTCACTTTTCTTCTGACCTCCAAACGATACTTTAGAACTTCTGCTAAAGTATGGTTCGCATGATGTTGGACCTTGAGAGCCGACCTCCAACAGCAGTATCCTGATTCATTCATGGCGTCTCACCTGCTGACACAAATCCTGCATTAGACACAGCCGTATAGGATCTGGTAGGACCTGTTGGAAACGCTAAATGGAAACCGAAACTAGGTAATAAAGTAATAAAAGCTTTTTACTTTATTACCAGATAATAAAGTAATATTACTAAAAATAGGTCACCTTATGACTTATTTTTCTTCACAAATAAGGTGATGTGAAGACAATTGTCCTCATTGTCCAACCCAGGCTCCCTCTCCCAACCCTGAGATATGCGTCAAGTTTTGTCAGATTTGATTTACTGTGTGATTCTCCACTTGAAAGGGACAGTCTCTACTACATAACATAACTGGATTTCACTAAAATTTAGCTGATCCATCCTTATTCCAGTGAAAAACTTCAAAGGAAACAGAAACATATCTATTACATTTTGAAATGAAGGTAAATGCATTGTGAAATAATCAGATTTCCACCCCTTTAAACCAGTTAATCCAAAAGAATAATAAATAGCAATTCTAGTAAAATTCACCAAGAAATAAATTAGCGTATTTATCAACATTTACATTTGTAGTCAAACATTCTGACTAACATTTTTTTCTTTTTCAGTCTCATCTTTTTTTATGTTCTACTTTAACCAATAAACAAAAGTGTATTTTTTTATTTATCTATTTGTTTATTTTACATGCTTGATTTTAATCATATTAAAACTGTCAAACAATCAGAGTCCATGTGAATGAGCAACAGCGTTGTGAGGCTTACTGGCTGCCCTTCACAGTTTGTAGAAACTTCTGTACAGTTCTCAATGTACATGAAAGACCAGCAACACTGTTTGCTTCTGATGCTGTAGCACTTCTTCAAACAGGAATGACAGGCCAGTCACAGAACTTCTGCTAAAGTATGGTTCGCATGATGTTGGACCTTCAGTATCTGCACTTTCTGATTGCTAGGACATGGAGTCCACTTGTTACTGGGCACTAACAAGCAGAGCAGAAAGATGCAGATCTAACGGATAAGAGATGCAACGTTCAACATTCCTGAGGGGAGTGGCTCTCTGTCAGTATGAGTTTTGTTTGTGGAGGAGAGGCTTTTTGTTTGGAGGTGTGTCTGGACTAGTAGAGCATATAAGCAGCTGAAACAGACGGACCGACTCAGATCTGAACTGGATTCGACATCATCAGCATCTTTTCTCAGTTTCCTCTGAGTTTCAAAACGTAAGTAACCTGAGCATCCTGCTGTGACTTGGACCTTTACTGGACATTTAAATTCCCAATCAAATTTCAGAGATTTACTTTAAACATTTGTTTTCCATTTTGTCCTTGGTGTTTTGACAGTCATCATTACAAAAAGCATCAGTGTGTAACAGGTCTGAGAACAAAATTCTGGTTTCAGGAGATTCAATCCCCAGAGACTTGGTTCTGAGTTCAGCAGCTCCTGTTTGTTTCCTTGTTTCAGGAGAACAAGCTCAGACATTATACATTTAAAATTCCAATTCTAAAAGATGAAGAAGCTTTCCTATGAATTAGACATTTCTATATTTTATTACTCTTCCTTATCAGAGAGTACAAGGTTAGTCAAAAATAATTTCCTCTTACATTTAACTTGCCAGATTCTGTGTTATCGCAGATAAGAGCTTTATGATTTTAGCGGACATTTCCTGAAGCTAAGATCAACAGGCAGAGTGTGACATGCAGTGGTGGCTGCATGCAGACCTCCCCCCATTTCAGGTTGCTGCTGGGCAGGATAAGCTGGTTTCATTCTGCCTCTTGATCAGGCGAGTATAAGGCGAGTTGGGAAATGGATTTCAGTGCCAATTGATGTGCGCTGCAGCTTTGTGGTGCTGTGATGGAGGATTTGTTGTGGGCTGTTTTTTGTTGTTACACTTACCTTTCTTTTCCTTTAGGTTAGGGTTGGGCTCCCTCTCCCAACCCAGACAAATAAGTTTTGTTTTCCTCAGAAGTGAAACTGAAAAGGCGGAAGATGTATGGCAAGCCGTTTTACCATAAATTCGGTTTTGCCGCCCTTACATTCCAGATATCTCAAATAGTTTTATGACTAGTTGTTTAAGTGATTTTAGATATCTGTAATTATATTCTGACTAGTCAAAATGACGTCAGATTTACCATTGTTTTTTATGGAGACTTCAATTCGAGATATCTACAATGAATTACTGACCATATGAAATACACAATTCAGATATCTACAATTCAATTATGACTAGTAAAAAGTAAATTTAAGATATCTCAATTTTAGTTTTCACTAGTCATAATTCTAATTAAAGATATCTCGATTGAATCCGCAATTCAAGATATATTCAATGTATTTTTTGGATAGGAGAAATATACTTTTGACTAGTGGAAATTAAATTATAGATATCTTAACAGTAAATAATGACTAGACAAAACTAAATTATTTTCACTAGTCAAAATTCCTTTTAAGGTATCTCTAAATGAATTAGAAATATCTTGAATCATTCAACTTTTCTATTTAAGATATCTTGAATTAGCATTCTGTCTAGTCAAAGCGTCACTGATTTACGTGGCAATTTGAAAGTTTAATAAAACAATAAAAATAGAAAAAATAAAAAAAGATGTTTGAAAATGCACAACTTTTATGTTGAAGATGGATTGACAATAGCAATTTCAGCTTTTCCAAGCTGTTTTTAAGTGCATTCGGTTTGTTGGAAATGAATAAACAGGATATTTTTTTGCAGATACTAGCAGTCTTAGTTTATGACGTTTTGCGTTCTCCGCATTTCCAACATTGCCGAGTTCTTTCTAATTTGTGCCATTGACTGACAATTTTGTGCACAAAACATAAAATTCTGCAGGCAACTGTTTGGACAGCACAAAGGGGCTTCAGCATCATTCTTAATTCAGATATCTAAAACTGTAATTTTGACCAGTGATAATTACGTTCAAGATATCGTCAAATTACAGAACCAGTGACGTCATTTGAGACGTCTTGAAAAGAATTTTGACTAGTCAGAATGTAAATGCAGATATCTTAAATTACCATTCCAGATAGTCAAAATGCACTTCTAGATGTCTAGAATGTAATTACGGATAGTCAGACAAAACCAAATTTCTGTTTATATTGTGAACATGCAAGTAACTTGAGCATCCTTTATTATGAACCAGTTATTTCTAATCTTTTTTTAAATATATATTTCTTTATTACTCTTATTGATCAGCAAGTACATGTGATGTTGGTCAGAATGTCCTTGTATGTTTAAAACACCAGATTCTGTACATACAGTCACAGATAAGAGTAGTAAGAGTCTTAATAAGACTCTTGGCCCCCAGCCTTTTATTTTTTTTACATTGAAATATTAATATTTTTACAGTCTTTTTTTGTTTGTACAGCTAAATGTAAATAATTTAAAATGCTTCAATATAAAGTGAAACCACATGATATCAGTGTTGAATCACAGCAATGATCTAAGAGTTTTTTATCAGGCATTTCCCAGAGATAATATGAACAGACTGAGCCCAACCAGAAATTAAATTCTGACCTGGTCAGGCTAAAATTATACGGTTGAGTATTTGTTTGGGATTCTATGACAGTTTTAATAAGCCTTCAATACATATGTAGGCTTATGTATTGTAGACCAGAAAGCAACAAGCTAGAATGCAATACATAAATATGTTTCTCTACTTATTTAACCCTTGTGTTGCCTTGCAGATCATAAGTGACCCACTACCATGTTTAGCTGGTGCTTTTTCCAACTTGAAATTTTATGACTTTTCCTAAATTGACCCCTTCATTAGAAAGCGATACTTTAAGTTTGTTTATATTTCCAGGTGGCTTATGTATTGTGGACCAGAAAGCAGCAAGCATTAAGCTTACTGTGTACTGCTTAATGTGTAAATTATTAAATCTGAACTTACACCACTGTCTTATGGGTTTAATTATAAAAGCATTTAAACACCAGAAAAAAGTTCAAAGGCTGCACACAAACTCTCTCTAATACAGAACCCCCGCAACTCCCCTCTCACTCACACATACATATATCAAAGAAACTGGATTTATGCATGAATTGAACTTCCATTTCAGAGCTCTGCATTTAGGTTAGAGCCTCTTGCAAGCTGTTCTGAAGTTTTTGTCTGCAACTCCATATTTTAGCATAACTTGGCAAATAATATGTTAAATGATAAATCATTTTGCGTTCAATGTTCCTAATATGGGCTGCACAGTGGTGCAGTTGGTAGCATTGTTGCCAGGCAGTAAGAAATTCCTGGATTCGATTTCTGCACGGAGTTTGCATGTTCTCCCTGTGCATGCTGGGTCCTCTCCGGGTTCTCTGGCTTCCTCCCACAGTCCAAACACATGACTGTCAGGTTAATTGGACTTCCCAAATTCTCCCTAGGTGTGAGTGTGTGTGTGCATGGTTGTTTGTCCTGTTTGTTTCGATGTTGCCCTGCGACAGACTGGCGACCTGTCCAGGTCACCGGGTGACCCCGCTTCTCGCTCGGAATGCAGCTGGAAATAGGCACCAGCAACTGCTGACCCAGTTAGGGATAAGGTGAACAGATAATGGATGGATGGATGTTCCTAATATGAGAAGTCTTATACTTCCTTAATTTTATGTATTTGTTCGGTTACAGAAGCAGATATTTTTGCTAATAATATTTTAATACAATTTTTAACAAAAACAAATGAACCAAATACTACAAACAAACCCATAATAATAATTTAGCATAAAATAATATCTTTAATAAGTTTGATGCTGCTTCTCTTACAGGTGTCACTTCTATTATTATTACTCATATATTTATGGGACTCACAGAAAGAGTGAGAACTGAGCAGTGAGAGTAAAGAAATTCTCAATGTTTCTCACCTGCTCTCGAATGGTGCTGCTCTAAGAGTTGTGTGTTTATATTCAGCTATTCTTTACACTTATTCTTTAGTAATCATATATTGCAATAGACACTGAGGGTCTTCTGTTTATTCTGCAGGCCAGAGCTGATTGACTCACTGGGTTCTGTCTGAACTGAAACTGGTCAGAGAAAGTAGATCCTGACATTCTTGACAAATCGTCTGGTTTTCCATTCATCCCACGCTGCACCATGGATAAAAATAAAAAGATTTTCCCTCATCAACATTTGAAGCTGGAAGACCTAAAAATGCAACCTGGAGTTCCAGACAATTACCTGGGCAAACCAAACATACCAAATTATCCTAAACCAGAGTTCCATGTGAGTCGTCTGAAACATGAAACTTCAGGATCAGGGCTAAGTGGGATCAGGAGGGATGGGGCTTCAAGGATCCACGTGGAAAACCCCTGATATGGTGGAGTCTGGCTGTGGGACCAGATGAGATCAATGACGCAGAGAACAGGCTCCGGGAGAACAGTTCCTCAGAGCGGGGGATGGTGGCTCATGAGCAGCAAAACTTCCTGTGGAAGTTTGCCACGTCTCCAGCCTTCAAGGAGACGTCCCGGCTGGGCTCCTTCCGCTTCACCTTCCCCCTGCAGGAGGTGCTGGAGGCCTACAAAGAGCAGGTAACACCTCTCACTTTACCCATTGTCCCTTTTCCACTGGCTCTAATGGATCTAGCTCTTCTACTCGGCTCCCTGTGGGAGTGTTTCACTGGCCATTTTTCTCCACACTATTTTGAGTTGGATCATCTGGATCATCTCTGCACAGTTTCCAACTTTTAGGTGTTGGCATAAATAAAAAACTAAGTTAATTTATATAAATGGTGAGTTCTATTTAAAAAAATCTTTTCCACAGATTTGTTCTGGAGCTGATCCGGTCTTCCGGGTTTTACGGACTGATCTGCATCTACAGGAAGTGGTGTATGTTGTTCTGGTTCACAGTCCAGACTTAAATGGGAAGTTTTCAGAATATCCTCGACTGAAAGACGACCCGAACGCCATCTGTGTCTACAGAGATGGACGTTTTATCTGGAGGTCAGAGGCCATGTGTGATAATCACCGGTAAGAACAGAGAAACCTTCTGCATTGAAGTTTTACATTTAAAAATCAGCATTTTTTTACCTCAACAATTCAGAAAATGCCTCACAAATAAAAATCCTGTAACATATCACGTCTAACAATACGTAGCGCTTATGCAATTGTTTTTATTTTTATTTAATTAAAATACTTTTATTTAGGATCATTCATGTGTTTCTGGAAACTCCTGATACGTAAAAGATGTAAATAAATTATTATACCGTTTAATATCAGTTGAATCAATCCCCAGAACGGGGTGGAGAAAATGTGAAGAGTAAATACTAACGGAGAAAATGCATCAATATGATAAAAAAGTCAAGTTTTTTTTCTGAAAACAAATACAGAATGTGATAAAAAAAAAAAAAGAAGAAATAGAAATAATAAGTAAAACTAATACAAAATAAGATACTAAACTAAACCATACCAGGCACACAGTATAACTTTAGAAAAGTTCTTTGGATGCAAAATTTGCCACATTAGTGACTGTTAGAGATTTTGATATTATCATTTTGTTAAAGTGTTCTCTTCCTTATGTGTGTATGGGCTGACCTGGAGGTTACGACTGTCTTCATGCGAGGTAGTAAAACTTTATGGTTCTCAGACCTTAAATTCTTCTTGTGCTCACTGCTCAATTCCTTAATTTATAGTTTGACCTAGAGCTGAACTGGGCTCAGATGGTAGATCAGATATCACACCTGGAACTGAGTTGTTGGTCTGTTTGTGTTAAATGCTTTACGACCTCTGTTGTTTCCTGACTGCCCCATGTGACTGTTTTTCTTTGACAATAAAGAGGCAGCTCATGTGAAAGCAGATCAGAACGCTCTATGAACAGCTTGGAGGAGCTGTTGATGGAGACTTCTCCTTCTGCAGAAGCCTGACCATGTTTAATTCATATACGTTGTCTGGTTATTTTATTGTAGGTTCGAGGAAAATACCTAACAGTGACTTTATCAAACCACTTATTTCAGTTTTTTAGCAGGATCAGTACTCCATACATTTTCTCTTCACACTGCATCTGTGTCTCTTGAGAAACATTAATATCACATTTCGTGCTATGTTAAAAGAAATGTACTCTCTTTTCTTCACTCTCGATTAGCGAGAGTCACAATTGGTCTTTTTATTCGTCTTTAATCATTGAATAAAATAATAATAGAAATACATTTTAATTCATTGATTGTCTCAGTGTTTCACCTTAAAAAGGATTTAAGTATTTCCTTTAGAGAACCCAGTCAACAGAACATGCATATTCCACAAAGATTGGATTCAAACCAGGACCTTTTGCTATACACCAGTAATACTCATTGAACTACTGCGTAACCAATATAATTACTATTAGATACCATAGAAAACACAAAATTTGTACTGGTTAAGGACACGACTAACAGGTGGAAACAGGAAGTGACAACTTGACACCAAATGACAAATCAACAAACTGTACTTTAGTTTTTGTCCATGATTTTCTTTGCTGATGTTTTCACAGGTATGAATTTGATGAAGTGCAGATGGAAGCCAGACGTGAGGAGAGTTACCAGTTTTATGTTTGGGACAATGTTGCTTGGCCCTGCATGTGGAGGATCAACAGGTGCCCTCACAGACTAACCTGCTAGACTAGATTCAGTTCAGCTGCTGGTCTCAAAAAGGTTGGGCACCACTGCTCTTCAGGGTTGGTTGTCACATGACAACTGAAAAACAAATGGCAAAAAATTTCTTTAGCCGACAGAATCAACCAATGTAACTTTTTCTGCCCCAGGCTAAAAGTTTGAAATAGTTCTTAATAGTTTAGTGATTTATTTATATAACACTTCTTGCTTAAAAATATGGTAATTTAGTTTAAAAACTTCTTACAGGTTCATCTGTATTTTATTTGGTGAATTCAGAGGTCACAATGCATTATGGGTAGCAGAAGCAGTAGCAGTCAAGAAAGCCTGCTTATCTATGTGGCAACTTCACTTCTTGTGTCTTAAATCTTTACTCACACCTATGAAATAAATGGCTTTTCACTCAGTGCTTTCATTGAGCTTTTCAAACAACTGTACAGAGTTGTAAGCTGTCAAGAAGATTGTAATAAAGGAGGAAGACGCTCGGTTTCCTGGCTCATGAAAAGTGAGTTTGGCTTGCTGTTGATCTGCGTTAGTGTATTAGTAATGATAACAGTATATAAGTTAAAAAACAAAAAACAATTTAACATATGTATTAAAACTTGAGGCAGACAATCTGTGAAAAAACATTGAGCTCCTCGTCCTCCTCCCTGTGTTCTGCATGATTACACCACTCAGTGAGAGACAAAACCGCTGGCCCTGCTCTCTGGAAGCTCTTTAGTAGACTTTCTGTATAATTCAGGCTGTTGGGAGCCTTATTGTTTTCAATGTATTAAATATTATTGACATTTAATACGACATTTAATACAATAATATTAAAGGTGTTTCTGGTCTTTTGACTGAATAGTTGCTGAATTGTGCCTGCAAGATTGTTTTTATGCGATTTTGTCTAAACTAAGGTGATTTCACAATCACCTTAGTTTACTTTCGCCAGATGAAATAGCCATTAACTTTTATACTTAAATGAAAATCAAAAGCAAATTCATATGATTGGGTATCGGGATGAGTATTGGCAGCAAAAAGCCGACGGGAGCATGTCTGGTGAAAAGTAAACCTTCTTTCCCCCCAACTTCCTCACTGACATGCATGTATGGAAGGAGTTGGACAGGACAAGGAATGAAAAACTGTTCTGTCATTTCTAGAGAGATGGCGTTGGCAGCTTTTGCATAATGCTTCATATGACAGACCCAGCCCACTTTGAGGCAACACTGCTCAGTGCAAACAAAACCAGGGCCAGAGTACAACTGGGCCGGCCAGTGCAGAAAGGCTTTTAGACTGATTGGCTTGTGTCTTTGGAGGTTTTACAGCACCAGCATGGAGACCAGTTAGGTTGTAGTCAGCGTGGGAGAAAACCATAAACTGAACCAGCAGCTGATGGACTGTTGGTTAAGTTACAGTCTAAGAAGCAACATGACCGAAATACAAAAGACTTGAGGTTTTTGGTTAACTGTGGTTTTGTTGAAAAATAAACTATTAAACTTTTCCTCATGTTCAGTAAGAAGCATGTTGCTCATCTTGATGAGCTTCTTTCTTTTCACCAGGTGCTGAAGCTTAATTTTGATAAACCAGAAGATTTTCTCACATACTGTAAGAAAGATGATGTGACATATCGTGAGGAATTTCAAACCCTTGATGAAGCTAATGACTCGGTGAAGAAGTGGCGAGGATGGCAGGGTCCTCTGAAAGTGGAGCGTCCTCTTTGGATGCATTACCCTGGTAAGACACAAATAAACTGCATTACTGACTTCATGCAACACAGCATCCATCTAACAGTCTATAACCATCTTTTAGTTTTTAACAAAACTCAGAAGCATTTAATTGGTTTTCTTCAGCCATTCAAAGCATTTATTTAGTAGTGATGAAAATGATCATCAGGATAAGAAAGATCAGGCCTCTGAGGATCTTATTTGTTTGAAAACAGTGTCAATAACTACTAGTTTCACTTTTCATAATGAAATGAAAAGATTATTAGCTTCAGGAAGTGAATCAGAAATTACATACAATCACTTCCTGAAGATTGTAAGCAAGTGTCCTCCACTGTGACGAGAGAAGTGTTAACAGGCCTTTTCCTGTTGTGGGCAACGGGGCCCGGCAAATACCCGTGTTTGAATGGACGGCGGAGTCCAGCGGTAACAGGCGCTTAAATTCCGTGACAAAAAGAATAGGGAAAAAAAACCCAACAAAAAACCCAATTGGTATTTTATTCTATGTTGCATGACTTTGTTTTGTGTGATGTAAAGCACTTTGAAATGCCTTGTAGCTGAAATGTGCTATACAAATGAAATTTGATTGATTTGAATATTACGAAGCGTGACCAACAAGGACTGAAAGGCTTCTTTTACTTTGTCGCTAAAACTATAGGCAAACTACAATTCACAAACAACGTAGAAAATCATCCTTCAAAACTTCTCCTGTTTGCTAATTGGCCTGAGGAATCCATTTCAATGGGAGAAATCGCAGACTGAGAACTGAAGGGAGATTAGCATAGGAAGGCAAACGCCTGGCTACATTATACTGTTTACAGGTTTTCTCTTGAGACACATTTTGGTGTTGAGATAAACTTTAAAAAGCATTTTCATAAAATGTGAAAAATGTAAAATTCTTAGTTTTACACGGTTCTTTAAACAAAACGACAAAATGCTTTTAAAGACCTTGTAGAATTATTCAATATTCTGTGGAGAATATTGAATAGTTCTACAATATTCAATATTCTGTGAATATTGAATGGTAACTGTGAACCTCTTTAGCTGTTAATTTGTTAAATTACCTTAATTCACACAGTGATTACACCCTTTGTAAAACTCAGTGAGGACGAGAGTAATATTAATAGGAACTGCTGTTAATAGTCAACCATGTTTTATTAAAATATTTACTCCGGAAAACATTATTTTATGCTTCCAAAACTAAACGTATGTCAGTGCACAAATGTAAAGACTGATACTTTCAAACAATTAGGTTCATCTTGAAAAAGAAATTATAGATCTTAGTGAGATTGTTATCTGGTCAAAAAAACTTATTATTATTTTTTATGTGTTAATAAATGTTGCTGAAATAGAAAAACTGGAATTCTGGAAAATAAAAACAGAAGGAGGAATTTTAAAAATAGTAACAGGTGAACAAAATACATTTTATTGATTCCTATTTAGGAAATCAAGAGTAGAAAAACCTCTAAACATCACAAACACTATTTTGGTGTTTGGAGTCAGTAAAAATAATACATAATTTATGAATGTCATATTCAATTAATTTTCTCATAACAAGAAATTTTCATCATAGTGAAAAAACAACATAATTTTTCATCCCTACTTTTAAGGGGTACTTAATAAAGTGGACGGTGAGTTTCCACATCCTCAAACACAATATAAAGGATTTTAAAACCGACTGTATTAAACATAAATCTAACACACTGTGTTGCAGTTACAGAACTCAAACTGGTTCTTACTGGAAGCTGTGGAGAGGAAACCACCACCACTGGAAACGCCTTATATGGGGAGCAAGTCTTTTATTTTTCAGGTAACTTGTGCTAAAATTAAACTCATGTCTTTAAAAATCCCCAACAAAAAAATTCATCAAAAGAATCTGAAACTTCTGACATACTGAATCTGAATGTTTATGATGAAATGATGAAATGATCATTGCTACACCAAGTTGAAAAAATGTTCCTCCAGAACGAACAAACTCTCCACAACAAGGTTCTTAGCAAGACAACATTGAACCCACTGAAGAAGTAAAACATAAAAAGCAGAAAAATAACAAATACTCGTGAGATGCAGCATGCATGTTTAGATCAACTTGTGTCTGAAACCTGAAATTAATAACAACCATCACCTGGTGGATCTCAATGTTTCAGAAAATTAAACTGAAGTTCTGGATGTTCCTAACCAAGAATTTGGCTGGATGCAAAGTCCTGCTACCAAGCTTTGGATCTTCAGGCTCTCTTATGCCTCCCTGAAAAAGAACCAAAAGTTTTGACACGCCTTTTCATTTAATGAGTTTCCTTTATTTTCATGACTACTGACATTGTAGATTCACACTGGAGGCATCAAACTATGAATTAACACATGTGGAAAAATGTACTAAACAAAAAAGTGTAAAACAACTGAAATACGCCTTATATTGTAGTTTCTTCAAAGTTGCAACCTTTTGCTGTGACTGCTTTGCACAGACTCTGCATCCTCTTGATGAGCTTCAAGAGGTCGTCACCTGAAATAGTTTTCACTTCACAGGTGGGCCCTGTCAGTTTAATAAGTGGGCTTATAAATAGTCATGAAAATAAAGGAAACCCATTTCTCACTCCCAGAAGAAAAAATAGCAGACATAGCGGACAGTTACAAGTATCTAGGTATACCACTAGCAAATGACAACCTCGATGAGGTCACAAGGAAAGGAGCCACAGCTAAATACCTCCAACGAATAAGGCAAGTCCTGAGAAGCCAGCTCAATGGCAAGAACAAAATCCGTGCGATAAACAGCTATGCCCTGCCAGTAATCAGATACCCTGCTGGAATAATCAGCTGGCCAAAGGAGGAGATAAAAGCCACAGATATTAAGACCAGAAAGCTACTAACCATGCATGGAGGGTTCCATCCCAAATCCAGCACCCTGAGACTGTACACGAGCCGCAAGGAAGGAGGCAGAGGACTAGTGAGTATGAGAACCACTGTCCAGGACGAAACAACTAAGATCCATAAATACATCAGGGACAAAGCCTCAACAGACAATGTGCTCAGTGAATGTCTCAGACAACAGGGAACGGAGGTTGAGGTGCCAGAGATACCATCATGGGAGGACAAGCCCCTACATGGGATGTACCACCAGCAAATAACCCAAGTGGCTGATATCAGTAAATCCTACCAATGGCTGGAAAAAGCTGGACTCAAGGACAGCACAGAGGCCCTCATCCTGGCCGCCCAGGAACAGGCCCTAAACACCAGAGCAATAGAGGCCCAGATCTACCACACCAGACAAGACCCAAGGTGTAGGTTGTGCAAGGAGGCCCCTGAGACAGTCCAGCACATAACAGCAGGGTGCAAGATACTGGCAGGGAAAGCGTACATGGAACAACATAACCAAGTGGCAGGCATAGTGTACAGAAACATCTGTGCAGAATATGGACTGGAAACCCCGAGATCAAAGTGGGAAACACCCCCAAAGGTGGTAGAGAACACCAGAGCTAAGATCCTGTGGGACTTCCAGATCCAGACAGACAAAATGGTAATGGCGAACCAACCAGACATTGTCGTAGTGGATAAACATCAGAGGAAAGCCGTTGTGGTAGATGTAGCAATACCAAGTGATTGCAACATCAGGAAAAAGGAGCACGAGAAACTGGAGAAATACCAGGGCCTCAGGGAAGAACTGGAGAGGGCCTGGAAGGTGAGGACCACAGTGGTGCCTGTGGTCATCGGGGCCCTCGGGGCAGTAACCCCCAAACTGGAGCAGTGGCTACAACAGATCCCAGGAACAACATCAGACATCTCAGCCCAGAAATGTGCAGTCCTTGGCACAGCCAAGATACTGCGCAGAACCCTCAAGCTCCCAGGCCTCTGGTAGAGGACCCGAGCTCAGAGGATAAGAACACCCGCGGTGGGTGAGAAGGGAATTTTTTAAATTTTATTTATTTATCCAGTGTTAATATTAATTTCTATACAAACCGGATCACATAATTAAATATCCAAAAACTAGGCAAACCCATCATCAAGCTACTTCGTCCATTTTCTAGATGTATTTCTGAACTATTGGATCAAAACTCAATATCAGCTGATTCACAAAATCTTAGTATTTAGGCAAAAACAACTGACCAGAATATCCGTAGTGAGAACATTTAAAGTCAGACTGAATAAAGTGACGTTTATTGTTAACAATAAACAGCTCAGGACTTTTTGGGTGAAAATGTTGTGAATGATAGACTAAGTATACTTGAAGTGTTGTCTTGATTCCTTCATGCATGTTTGAGAAATCCTTCAGTTTCCCATGGGAACCTTTCTGGGGCGCCTAAACGCTTGCTAACACCAAGCTTCACCTTTTCCACAAAGTTCCTCCTTGGAGGAGAGCAGCCCTCCTCCTTGACTTTCCTGTTTTAGTCTTATTTTATATTCCCCAACCAAACATTTTCTGAGCTCAATTCCCATTGTGAAAGTCTGATCCTGTTCACCAATAATATCCTCTTACTCTCTTCACAGAATCACATTAAGTTGAGACGGAAGGGGAGAACTTGGAGGTGAAAATCATCAATACTCCAGAGTTCTCAGAATTCATCACAGAAGGAAAGATAAACACCACTCTAAACTACATCAGATTCCCCAGCACAGCTCTTCATGTCTTCCTATTGGTCATCAGACTGAAGGACATCAGTGCAGATCAAATCAAAACAACTATACAGGACTTTGAATCAATATTTCAGAACAAGGCCTTAAAACGCACCATGATTCTCTTCACCCAGACAGAACCAGACAGAACCAGACATCCAGGAAATGATGCAAGAGGTTCAGCAATTCCTGACTGAGAAAGAGAGCAATAGATTCCTGGTCTTTAACAACAGGCCTGAGGACAGACCTCCTCAAAATATCTCAGATCTGCTGACAAAGGTGAAGAAGATTTGAGGCAGTGGTTGAATTCTAGAATGATTAATATTTCATCACCTTCATTATGGAATACTTAACTTCACTAATCATTAATAATCATGTTTTTCCTACAAACCCAACTCTCAGTGCAGCCTCAGCCTCTGTCTCAGCAGCAGGGCTAAACACCAACATTTTATTTTTAGTGATTATGTTCATAAAGATACATTCAAACTGAATAATTTAAGATCATAATTTTAAAACAATCAGCGTAGGGAGAACGCTCCTACTGCCCCCCACACATGGTTTCTATGTCGTCCATATCAGAAACCGCCACTGCAAACAGCCATTTTTAAGTGAACAGACAAATTATTTAGGCCAAAATGTTCAACTAATTGTGGGTATGAAAAACTGTCGCCTCCCTAGCAGAACCTTTTCCTGGAGTAAAATTCTACCCTGGTGAATTCAGACGAACCAGAACCAAGCATGGTTCCTGCAAAGGAACCAAACTAATGGACGTTTGATAGTTATGACGTTTTCATCTTTGTCTCAGATCAGCGTCTTTCTTGGTGCTGTTGGGTTTAATCTTCATAGAAAGACGACTGAGAGCTGCTGTTCTGTCCGGTTAAAAAACTATTTCTGTTTGCATTTTAATCTTTATATAGAAGAAGGAATCTTTAATTATCTAATATATTTTAATCTTTTAATCACCATTAGGTAAGGTAATTTTATTTACATAGCATATTTTCAGCAACAAGGCAATTCAAAGGGCTTTACATAAACTAGAGGAAATACAAACAAAAGAAAAGAAAAAGAAAAACAAAGATTTGCAATTTATGAACTTATAGGAGTTTCTCTGGATAAACTAATAGAAAAGTAAAAGTATAAAACTACATATTGGTTCCTTATGTTTAACGATTTCTCTGGATTCTTTTTCTGATAAAACTGGGTGGCACTTTTCAAATTTGTTCAAGTTTTTCAAACTAACAGGAGTTTCTCCAGGTTTTGCTCTAATGTTAAAAGTTTAATGCTAAATGCTGATCTAAAGTAGAGAGTAGTTTATCTGGATAAAGTAATAAAAGTTTCTTTAGATTCTAAGTTTCTTCTCATTTCTGCTCTGGGTTGAATGAAGCATAAAACTAAATATTACTATTCATAATTATTACTATTTTGTGGGTTTAGGGTTTACAGTAATTTCTGCTTTGTTTTTTGGAAAGAGGTTAATGTTTCAATGTTTTATGAAAGGTTTATAATGAAATTATCTGAGATGTTGTCTATCTTTCTTTATTGCAACAATGTGGCCGGGAAACTTCAATGACTGTGATTTTAACATTTAAGAGGGAAATGTGTTTCAAATGGAACATTTTTATGATCATTTAATGGTGATATGTGGACTATAATAAAAATATTAAACACAATGTTATGTTTTCCTTCATTGATTATATGTAGAAGCTGGTAGCAGCTGCCATAGATTCAGACAGTTTTAGCATTTTCCCAGTTTGAGGAGTAAAAACTTTTATTTATATTTTTTAAAACACTTTCCTGCAGTCCAAAGAGTCGGGTCCATTGTACTCCCTGTGCGTGGTCCAGGAGAGCTGCACTGACCTCACATGTGATTTCATTTGTTTGTTTTTGGGAACTAATGGTCTGATTGGTTAACTTTGGTCCTTGCAGTAACATACTGCAACCCCTAGATGTCCTCATTGCCTCTTGTTTCTCACTAAACCAGACCATTGCTGCTGGTGTTCCCAGGTAACTAGATTCCTGCTGCTCACCTCCACCTGCCTCAGATTCACCCCAAGGTTCCTTCTGCCATCTCATTTGAGTTTCCTTGGATTTTTTTCAGGGATTCCTGTGATTGGACACATTTGATTTATTTTGTGTTAATCATCATCAAACATTAATGATTATTCCCGTTGACCCTATTTAGAAAAACTAGGTTTAAAAGCAGATTTAAAAAGGATTTTGGCGTCTCAGTTTAAGGAGAAAGAGTCTGACGGTAACATCTAATGGGAATAAAGGAGTCCTCTGTGTGACTGCGACGTCTCCACAGTGTGTGTCTTACAGTGAAACAAAGTCTTTCTGTTTTCAGTTTTCTTCACTGTACACTCGCTGCAGACGTCCTCGGTGAAGTAGACATTAAAATCTGTGTTTGGATTCATTTTCATCTCAAACGTACCCGCCGACATTTTCTATTTCAGAAAAACTAATTTTCAAAAAATAATTATCAGCTCATATTCCTCAAAAAAATAAAGTCTAGTTCTAATAAAGATGCCATGTTTTAAATAGTCAAACAGGTGGATGACATCAGCCCTGTTAAATCTTCCAAATTCAGGATGATCTGGAATCTTTTTGAGGCAAAAGTAAAATCATTATTGTTCCCAATTTGAGGCTACAAACGTCGTCATCGTCCATCCAAACTGACACAAACAGACGCAGTGTGTGTCGCCCCTCCCTCAGTGACCCCCAAACCTCCGTCACAGAGTCTCACTGTTCACTTCTCATCCAAACATGCAGCAAAAACACTCTTTGGTTGACAGGATGGCTGCAGCGTCACATCCATCACCTCTGGCCTTCATCGCCGTCATCTTCGTCCTGTCAGGTGAGACCTGCACGTCCCAACAGAACCAACCCTCCGCTCTCAATCAGGCTTTCTCTTTGTTTCGCTAACAGCTTCTTTGTTTTGAGTTTGTTGTTTCATCACTAGCTAATCTGACTCTGCTTAAAGCCTTTATTATCTCTGAGGATGTTTTCTACCTCTCTGACTTGTTTCCCTGGTCATGTTTTAAATGTAGTATCTCAGGGATTCAACTAATTTGTGTTTAAGCAAACTCTTGGTTATTGTTTTCTGTATTTCCAGGATCTAAAGCATGGTGTCATATAGACTGGTTGGGGCTCCTTTAGCATGAACTACTGCAGCAGTGCACTCTTTACTCCATAGTAGCCTCAAAGGGAGAATAATGCATTCAGAACGATGAACAGAAATCACGGCGACTCAGACTGATAAACCAGACGTCTTTGGCTTTTCTTCCATTTGGGACGACAACCATGCTGGAAAATTTAGCTCTTTCTCACAATTAAAACTGAACCAGCTAGCTCACTGTAAAGGATAAAAGGAAGGCTACCAGAGACATTAATTAGGATGTTTCACAGTGTAAATATAACTGAACACCTGATAAAACCTTGAAACCCGAGAAACTGTCTGCTCCTGAACGTCTCCTTATCAAACCGGTATGAAAATATAAAATCTGTTTTCTGACCTTTGTGTTCTCGAGGTGGACCGCCGATGTCTGCGTCCTGTTTTAAAGTGACGGAAGGGGGCGTGGCCTCTCTGTCCTGTCAGTACTCCGTGAAGCGATTCGGCCTGAGTCGGGTCTGTTGGGGTCGAGGCTGCGGGACCTTCTGGTGCAACAGCATCCTGGTGCAGACAGACGAGAACGGAGAAATCTCCAAGGTCTGTCGTCTTCCTTTGGTTTCCATTCCAGCCCCAATCAGACACCCATGCAAACGCTAAGGGAAGAAATAAAGAAATGACTGACCTGTTGACTTTTTCAGCATCACCTTTGCGAGCTGTGCTTCCTTTGTGAAAGCAGCAGTTACCTGTAAGAGCGTTCTAAACCAGCTCAACCTTTTTCCAACAGCTAATGACCTGAACCTGACCTTGACCCTTCAGGTGGACGACAGATATCAGCTGACGGGGGACATCCTGGATGGACAGATGGACCTGGATATCCTGAATGTGCGTCGGACAGACAGTGGGCCGTACTGCTGCAGGGTCGACGTCGACGGCCTGTTCAACGACAAGAAGATGATCATGAACCTCAGAGTGGTCAAAGGTCAGATCCATCATGAGTTCAGTTCAATAAGTCAACTATAAACCCGTTTTCATTGTCATTGTTGCTGGTGTTTAATAAACAGCGTGGTGGGGAGGCAAGTAAAGCCTGGTCACCCGCCAGGCTTAAAACAGACTGAAAACAACTAAATGTTGCATTTTTGATCTCCAGCTGAACCGAATCTACCAGACTATCAGGAGAGAAAACAGCCTTGAAAACGAGTAAATGTCAAATCAAACTAGTTTTCAGTTTCGTCAGACTACCTGACTTCAGGTTCAGCGGAAACTCTTTTTCTGAACCCAGCTAACATTGTCTGTCTCTCAGCTCCGTCCACCAACCCTCCTCAAACAACCACAACCGCGGCGATGACAACCAGCAGAGTCACAGAGGCGAGGGCCACTGAGGTCTCCACGGAGCCGACCACCACAGGTCAGTAGGTCCACGAGGGCCGTGAGGCTGAGCAGATCCTGTCTCTGGGTATCAACGTTGTCTTCCTCTGTCTCCTGCTAGTAAACTGGAAAACCCTGCTGTCGTCCCAGCTGGACCTGCTGAGGAGGAACTCCACGCTGCTGCGCTCTGACGCCATCACTGTAAGGATCCTCAACATGTCTGCTTTAATACTATGCAGCTTTTTATGACCTTCTGCTGCAGCTTTGGCGTTCAGTCTGAAATTATTTCCAGAAACAGTAAAAGTGTTGCCCTGTTGTGGAGCCTTACAGATCAACCTGAGAGTGAACTGATCTGCCTACATGACTGACAGTCTTGTGTGTTTCAGGTGGAGGATCCTCTACCGTCCCTGTCTCTTCAGATCAATGCTCCCGTCCTCTCGCTGTCCCTCAGCGTTTTGCTGATCGTCGCTGCAGTTTTCCTCTTCCTGGCCTTCAAACGTACGTCACAGAGCTTTGGTCCACGGGACTTCACTCTTATTTTTCTGCTTTTGAAATGTGTGCATGTCCAGATCCGGCTTTCCTTACAAGCAGACAAACATGATCATCGCAAAAATAGTCAAGCGACACCAGAAACAGACAGGTGCTACACTAGCATGATTGCTATCAATCAGTCAAATTTTATTTGTATAGCACCTTTTAGCAACAATGTGTTTTGTGCTCTTGGATCTTGACAGAACTGACAGAAACCAAACAGTTTACAGATTTATATATAGAGGGATATAAATCAAGAGTGACAAACAAATTGAAATGCTGCTTGATAACATGGATTTTGACACCAGGAGTGAAAATCATGGTTTCTGTTTTGTTAGCATTTGGTTGTAGATAATTATTGCAGCCTTCGAAGTTCTGATTTCCAAACTTTCCAAGCGGATCCAAAACGACTTTATTGACGTAAATGTCGTGGCTTTCTGAGGTCCAAAACCCGAATTCTCCTAGAAGGGTCGTGTGTGGCAACAGGTGTGTGTGGCAACAGGTGGTTTGGTTCTTGAAAGTTACCAAAGGAATCTGAACAATTCCAAATATACAAATGTTGGTTCTAAACCAACCTAAGTATATTCCTAAGAAAAACTAAATAAATTGAGCTTATGATTTACAAAATGAATTTCTGTCAATCCCAAAGATTAGATCATTTATAGATTTCGGAAAGTCTGAATGAACAGCAGAATATCATCAGCATATAAATGACAGGAAATATTTTTAGAACATTTTATGATTTGACATTAAGAGAAAATGTATATTAAGAAGAAAACGGGACAATACAGCATTAGGAAGTCAACTGTACTCCAGTTAGTTGTTTATTTTTCCTTTGGCTTTTGATGCAGGTAGGATCTACAGAGGCGGTTTAAAGACAGGATGGTGAGTAACCAGTCTACTACCTACCAGACAGAGTTAGTAGTTCTGATTAATCTTTAAAACACCAGAGGATCAGAGCTCATCCTGATGGAACACCAAAAGTCTCTGACCTACATTGTGACCAGTTTTTCTTCTCTTCCCCCCAGTTTGTCTTCAGATGAGCCTCCTCACATCATCTACGAGATCCGCATGAGGAGACCAGTGCAGGAGAACATCTACACTCTGGACTAGACACAAACGGCCTCTTCACAAAGACAGAACTATAAAAACATCCGGATCCAGTCTGGGATTTTATGTTTTACTTCTGATGAGTCAGACTCTGTCTGTGTCTTAAAGCAACATTTGTCCAGATGGGGGTAAAAGGACAGGGATGATTTTGTTTTGAAAAGGTCTGTTTTCTTGGGTTGCAGATGTATAATGGAAAACACGGAATATCTGAGTGTATAATCAGGACTCAAGCAGAATCATTCACACGGACCAGATATGCTGAAGAAGAGCTGCAGTTTGCAGTTGACATGTTTTCAATTTTTGTGTTTTAAATGTGTTGTTCCTTCAGTTTGATTTTACTGTTGATAGAAAAAACAAGCAAGCTTCCTATATGCTGTGTTTGCTGATTTCAGATAAAGCTCTGTGTTTGTTTGAGCATGTGAGACTGAGGCTTCATCAAGTTTTAACCCCCATGGACTTGTAGCTGCATTTCCATTGACCATAAAGTTGTGCAAATGGGATTTACAAAAATTAATTGGCTTAATGGAAACGCAGCAGTTTTGAAAAATTCATGTGTTTTGATAAAAGTTTTTTACGTTCGGCTGTATTGAAATTGATGTTTTGTCAAACTGGAAAGTGTTGGATCCATAGTTGCTGACACCAGTTTCCCAAAACTGCAGCATGTGCAGCTGTTTCCAGACGCAGACACTGAGATCTTCAGTGATCTTTCCTGTGGTTTTAAGCAGCATCATTCCATACTATGGTAAAACGATAAAAACACTAATATAATTCATTCTAGCGCTGTCTAGTTGCACCGCCTACTTGGACCTATGCGCATGTCTACAGCAGTATGAGGGTTTCCGTAGTGTAGTGGTTATCACGTTCGCCTAACACGCGAAAGGTCCCCGGTTCGAAACCGGGCGGAAACATCGTTTTTTTTTTAGTTCATCATTTACTTTTTATTTAAAGTAGTTATGGATTAACCACTTTTCCTATTCACCATTTTCACCATACACTACAAAAACATTGGATTAAATTACGCAGAAACAAACTGTGGACGTTTTCACACCGCTCATGTTTTTATTAGCTTACAATTATAAGCACCTACGCCTTGAAACTAACAGGCAACTGTTAGTTTCCTAGCAAGAAAGATACACATGTGAGAGACCAAGCATTCACTGCAGTCAGTAGTACTCAGACTATGCCAAAGAAAGTTAAAACAAGGCAAACTAAGCCTTTTGAATGAAAGGCCGCAACTCCTCCGTTTGTCTATATCGCAACATGTTTACAATATGGCAAAATACATGAATCCTCCCCGTCAGGGAACCGAAAGCCTAAAATCCAGAGGATCCTGGTTCGATTCTTGGTCATAGCGAACCTGTGTCGTCATTTCACAAAGAAATGGTGCCTTACTTATATTTTACATTTCAGGTAATATGTCTTACTACATGGAAAGCAAATCAAGAATGCAAATTAACTGCACAATAATGTTTTTGCCATCCTTTAATTATACTTTGCATTTGCATGTCCATCTGAATATATCAATGTATTTTTCAGTTTTCTCACATTTTTTGTTGGTTATTAATAAATGAATTAGCTTATAAGGTGCTTTAATGTGGAGTATGTTTGTTTTTACATGTAACTCTTTCATGCATCATAGTTTAGTCACAGTTTCCTTTTTATTTTAATGTTATTATAAGGGTGCTGATTTATATTAAAAAATGTTATTTAAAAATGACCACATCGTTGAAATTAAACCATTTATTTTACTTATTTAAACATATGTACAGAATTGAATACAAGTATTAATGTAAGGCAAAGATGGAAAGAAATTTTCCAACACATTTTGCAATATAAATTGAAAAATTATCTGCAATTATATGCCCTTTCTGGCAGCCCACCTCTCCTTTTCAGTCCCATAAAAAGAGGATTGACAAAACTCCCCCAGGTCATTTCCCCTTTCATTCCCTGGGTCTGGTACAGGGACAGAACCTTTGCAGGGCAGTAAATGTATTTCCCATTTATACCAGGAAACCCAGTGTGGACATGGGGACTTTTTGGGCCTTGTTTCAGAGTCCTGTGGCAGAACATGCAGACGCCCAGCAGGATGCTCCTCCTTGGCCTTCCTCTTTCCTTTATTCTTGAAACAATATACTCACCGAGACCCAAAACGGGTTCCGGTCTTCATGGAATTTTGAGAGCAAGCAACTCTGGAGATACCGGTACAGGACACTTCGAAGAAACTGTGGGAAAAAATGTGAAACTTAGTATTCTGTGAACACATCAAATTCATGCAGATGTGGATTTATTCACCTGATGTAGGAGTGACAGGGGTGCTGCAATTACCAGCCTGGTCTGGTTTTGAGACTGCTGCTTTGAAGTTTTCTGAAGGAGAAAACTATATTTTTTACCACAATTACCCACATAGGTAGTGATAAGCAATGATGACTTTATGCCATTATTTTTAAATATTGTGAACTGAGCATCTGATGGTTACCCAGTTGAATGAAGTGTGTCCATAGCAAGTTTCCGTAGTGTAGTGGTTATCACGTTCGCCTCACACGCGAAAGGTCCCCGGTTCGAAACCGGGCGGAAACATCATTTTACTTTTAGTTAAATTTTTTGCTTATAGTAGTAATAGATTAATCATTTTTCCTATTCACCATTTTTACCATGCACTACAGAAACATTGGATTGAATAACGCAGAAATTTGAATTTAGTGTCTGTTAGCAATAAAAATACACATGTGAGACTAAGCATTCACTGTAGTCAGGAGTACTCAGACTATTCCAAAGAAAGTTAAAACAAGGGTTATTAATTTGCTTTTGTCTATATTGCAACATGTTTACAATATGGCAAAAAATATGTAGCCTCCCCGTCGGGGAATCGAACCCCGGTCTCCCGCGTGACAGGCGGGGATACTCACCACTATACTAACGAGGAGTGACCTGAAGTCAACTGTTCATGTGACACATTTGAGCCTGCCAGATCCACCCGCTGGTGCAATACAGTGTTGTTCTCTATTGATCTGACAGCCAGAGAGCACAGTGACAGAGTTTCCGTAGTGTAGTGGTTATCACGTTCGCCTAACACGCGAAAGGTCCCCGGTTCGAAACCGGGCGGAAACATGTGTATTTATATATTTTTTTGAGAAGCCAAAATATTGAACAAAACATTTAACATTAATTAAAATGTTGGAAAATAAGGAGAGAAAAGCAAGACATATCGCTTGATCCACATTAATCTTAGCAGTGAAACAAATAACATTTGACTTCTTTTGAAGTTACAGGTCAGAGTCTATTCAAATGTGAACCTGGCTACTTGTTTACTCAATACATGTCATTGATACTCGACAAATGTCCCAAGATGCAGTCGAACGCAGCCGAAGACCTACTTCCAGTAATAAATGACTAAAAATGAAGTTGTTTCCGCCCGGTTTCGAACCGGGGACCTTTCGCGTGTGAGGCGAACGTGATAACCACTACACTACGGAAACCTTGCTGTGCTGTTCCCCAGCTATCAGATCTGTAGAGACAACGCCGTGTTCCCCCGTAGGCAGAATCTGACAGGCTTAAATATCTCACATGAACTTTCCGCCCGGTTTCTAACCTTTCGCGTGCAGTGGCGAAGCTAGAATTTTTTTCAAGGGGTGGCCAAACGGTGAGCAAGGCTTTATCAGAGGGGTCCATATACAAATGATGAACGAAAGGAAACAAATATTTAACAAAGATTTGCCATGACCAAACAAGACGTTAAACAGCACTGTGGAACAGTGAACATGTAAATGCAAACTCAGAGCCCAGAATATGACCAAAAACAAATTCTCAAAAATAAATAAATAAACTGGTGCTTTTGGTGTGCAATAGGTTGTGGTGGGTGGGGGGAGTTCAGTGCCATTTCCTTTTGCTTCACTGTCTTCCTCCCCAGAGTCTGACTCTGAATCTGTATCACCCTCATCTCTCTCTGGAACTTAATTGGAAATGCATAAACAGACACAATAAAAATGCAAAAAGCATCATGCTAACCTTTAGAATTAGGCTTATTGGATTTTACTACTTAATAACTCTCTGTCACAGCCTCTAACCTGCTGGTGATACACTTGAGCCTGGTGTCTCCTGGCTGGATTCTCCAGGTTGGTCACTGCTGCAGGGTTCTGTCTGGTCCTGGTCACTGCTGCAGGGTTCTGTCTGGTCCTGGTTTGGCCCTGGTTTTTGCCTCTTTAAGACGAACTGGGAGATATTCCCTTTTCTCTTCATTTGGGCTCTACACAAAATAAGACAGCCTGGTATTTAGACTCCATGACTGTTTGGCAGAAACAACACCTGCCCAAACACTGATCCTTGTACACCATGGCATCAATACTTCTGCGTCCTAACTGTAGACGGATAACTCCGTATCTTTAACTATTTTGCTTCTTACCAGTGGACGGCCACACCTACAAAATTCGACATGTCATTTCCACATACCAAGAGTTTCCGTAGTGTAGTGGTTATCACGTTCGCCTAACACGCGAAAGGTCCCCGGTTCGAAACCGGGCGGAAACATTGTTTTACTTTCAGTTCAACATTTATTTATATCAAGTAGTAATTACGCATTGATACTATCAAGCACTTTTTCTATTCACCATTTTGTCAACGTGTTTTTAAAGTAAGTGCACTTTAGTCTCCCATTGTCCACTTTCTACAGAGGAACTGTAAAGGGCACACTGCCCAGCAGCATCCCAGTCTGAACTTCCTTCCATTCTTGACATTGCTCGCAGGTGCTGCTTGAGCAACGACCCTTCCGCTCTTAACATGGTATGTTCTCCCTGCTGCCCTTTGGCAAAACGTGCAGCAGCTTCACATGCAGAACAATCGGATTCCTCATACTATCAGACTACTAATCTCCATTAATCTTTCTTTATTGCACATATTATATTACTTTATATGCAATAAAAAATATATATTACTTATTTATTTTATTACTATTGGAGCCTTGCAACAAAATTTTGCTCAATATGTACATTTTAAGTGTACAGTTGAATGACAAAGTCCGTCTATGTCTACTATTTAACAAGAGGTTGAAAGAATGGAAAGAAAATCTATTCGATTCCAAACCCTTGACAAACCTTGACAAAACTGGTTTCTTGAAAAAATAAAATGTAAATGTTTCCGCCCGGTTTCGAACCGGGGACCTTTCGCGTGTGAGGCGAACGTGATAACCACTACACTACGGAAACCTGTATTACGCCGCCATAATTACCGTTTAAAATTACTTTAAGCTAAAATTAAGGTCAGTAGACATATTCCATTATGTAGCTTATATGTCTTTTTTCAATTTCCATTTCAACCTTCCAAGCTCCGCCCACAACCGACCTAGAAAATCCCACGTGGCCGCAAGTCTCACAAACAAAGCCTAGCGGCGCTTTGCTTCTTTGTAAACATGGAATCTTCCACTTGGACTGATTCTCTGCAAAGTAATTCTGAGTCGATTAGTGCATCATTTCACCAAATATCAGCTACAGCAATGGACAGAGGATCTAACAAGTTCATGCCAAGTTTCACTACAGTGATGTTATTTTCAGTCCTAACATTTCATTTTCAATCAAATCAATCAAATTTTATTTGTATAGCACATTTCAGCTACAAGGCATTTCAAAGTGCTTTACATCATAAACACAAAACACAAAGGCATGCAACATAGAATATAATACCAAGGTTTTTTTTTTCTTTTTTTTCCCTCTTCTTTCCCTTTCTTCCCCCTTCCCTTTGACACGGAATTTTGCAAGTAAATTAAGTAAATTCATAATTGAAATATAATGTAGAAGAAATCAGTGAAATCAGTGTCATTTAGCAGGAGCACAGTGCTAACTAAAGTAACATTTATTGACAACTTTTGGTCCTAAAATTGAAAAAGTAAAAAGCTTATGAAATATTAAACATGCGAGGTGCTGTGTGTCGATTTATTGTCAGATTGTTGGCTTTTAGCCTTAGTTTAAAGGTTATTTTGACTTTTTAAAACACCGAACCGGTTTGTTTGAAGCACAAAGTCCCTTTATTGTTGTATTCTGTTGCTTTAAACCAAACCAGTCTCTGACGGTAAAGGTCAGAGACATCATGCAGCTCTGTTATTGGTCAACACCATCAGCTGATTAATGGCTCAGCCAATCAGAATCGGTCTAATTGAGCTAGATTATAAACTTGATTTAAGGAACAAGTTGTGACTTTTACTGAAAGTAACTGATCGCTGTTTTTAGTCTATTGAGAATCTATTGAGTCCAGTCTGACCTGCCGTCCCAGTCCGTTGTTACATCACACACACACACACACACACACACACACACACACACACACACACACACACACACACACACACACACCCACGCACACACACCAACACACACACACACACACACACGGAGAGAGAGAGAGAGAAACAGAGACATACAGAGAGAAAGAGCGCTCGGGCGTTCCGCCAACAGGAAACTCCTTATAAGGACTAGAGGACATCCGCTGAAGCGGCAGGAAGCACCATATTTGGGCTGAAAGCTGTGTTGATTTTCTTGTCGGGAGCAGGCTGATCCGGTGGTGA